ATAGGTTCATAAATTATAGTGATATCGATATTTGATGAATCATTTATGATAAAGGCATAATTATTAACATCAAAATCAATTTCATTTATGGTTCCTAGCAATCAAATTTCAAATCCTTTCTTTTCACTTTGATAATCAAACTGGTTTGAACTACGCCTTCCTCTATAGTGATTCATCATATTTCGCTTGAGGTTTTGTTTTCTCTAACTAATTGTGACCCTCGTGTGTCAACCTTTTGAGCTTCACTATAGACAAGGTTTCTAAAAATACAAAATTAAAACTGTAATTACGAAACGTAAAAAAAAAACGTGAAGAACAATAAATAACGTTAAGAGCAACAAATAACGTAACAAATCCAAGCTATAAGATCAGCAGTTTACCTGATTACAGTTATCTCTTTTACATGGGTCCAAAATTTACAAAAAAATTATATTTACTTAGCGAAAGTATGATTTTGTGTCTGATTACACAAATTTTGTATGAGAAACTAGAATTGTTAGATTTAATTTTTAGTTCGGGTAATACAATCATTAAATCAAAAGCGTTAGTTTTTCCCTTCTCTATACCATTCCCCGGAATGATCTAAAAAAGATTTTATAAACCATCGAACTGAATTTATAATTTAATAACACAAGAGTCGAATGCTACCCTGCTGTATCAAGCTCAATGCAAAGGAAAAGACACCTACAATATTATGAACTTCGGCTAAGAATTTATAAATTCAACGTGACCTTTTTTGTAAGTTGACCTACAGTCTAAGCTGAACTCTATTATCAAGAGCGGTATTGATTCCATATAATAAAAGAGAGCCTAACTTTCGTAGCTTGACCACTTGGTAATCTTCTATGCTGACCGGTGTTTATCAAATTTGCCTAATAGCGCTATTGAATGCTATTTCAAATCCTTCATAAGCTGATCAGGGGAAAAAAAGGTTTCTGTTCTTACAATTTTTATTCCATTAAATTATGGATTAGAATTTCCCTGAATTGATGAAATAATATTGAAAGCTAATCTAAAGTAAAAAAATAACCTTAACCCCCTTAGGGAAATGAACATACACATTGCTCATGTTTTCTGTAACTTGTTATCTTTTCCTAAAGTCGTCTGCTGCAATGATATCTTTAAAAAAAAATTCATTTCTTAATGTCTCGTTTAAACTGAATGCTGTTATCATATCATTCCCATTTATTACGTTTTCGTTTCTATCTGAGGTCAAAATTCAGAATAATAATGTACAACATTCTAGAATGGATTATTTCAGGACAGGTATTTCTCAATTTGTGCTGAATTCAGAATAATGATATACAACATTCTAGAATAGATTATTTCATGACATGTATTTCTCATTTCGTGCTGTAACACATCAAGACATACATCTAAGATAAAACATAGAAGGGGAAAAAAAGATAAAAACTTTACATGTATATTTTTAAACTTTGTGAAATTCTGTATAAAAAAAGTATTAATGGGACAAAAATATTTGAAAAATATTCAATAAAATATTAATACGTGAGCCACCAATTACATTTACAAATCATTTTTGTTATTATTTTTTTCATTTATTCATTATTTATTCTCAAAATAACGGAAACAGGACAAATTTTGCTTTATACAGCAATCTCAGCTTTTTAAAGAACGAAGTTAGAAATTATGAAATAACAGTTGCATTAAGTAACTGTCATTCCAGTAACTCATATTAAGCTGTCATTTAGTAACTTATTACAACTACATAATTATAATATTTTTATCTTACACAGCGAGATTTTAAGATTTATTTATGTACTTAATTAATCGAGAAATGTTAAGTATGTTTCGTGTATAATTTGTTTGCGCTTCGATGGCTCAGTTGGAAAAGGCGTCGCTCACCCCACTGGTAAAGAGCTAGGTGTCGTGAGCATATCGTTGCAGACACTCAAAACAGCCAACGTGTATATGCAGCAACGGTCACGCTAAATCTGTCATGGCTGAAAGTCCTTTTGTTGTATACGCTAAACGAAATTTGGAGAGATGGGTACCAGCTCAGACGCTGTCCACGTTCTCTGTGGTGGGAACAAAATTAGGAGATAGAGCCCTGAAAAATGGGGCTATACTCTTGATCTTGACTATGATTTGGTGATGTGTGTATTTTCAAGCATACCTGTCACGGACATAAAAGATGAACGTTAGGATTCTAAGTTTTTTATAAAAAATAAAAAAAAGGGAAAAAATGATGGCTAATTTACAAATAAGGTTGCCTAAATAATCTTGTTTTTTACTTTATTTCCAAATATGGCTCCAGAAATAAAATACATAGTATTATTTTAAAAAAATTGTATTCGTGAAAATTAAGAACACATCAATCATTCCAGAAATGCTGTAGCAACAAAAAAAAGGAGTTAAACAAATTATGCCTTGTGCAAACGTGGAATGTTCACTAGGGCGAAAACTGCACCGGCTGATCCTTAATTAATAAATATGCGGATGGTGTATTTGTGTACTTTTAATTTTAAGTGCTAGCACATTACTTAAAATATAATTAAATAAAATATGGCATTTTTCAACTCAAGTCTCAAGGTTAATTTCAGAGTGTCTCCAGTTGAATTTTCATTACTATTCTTTAATGTATTTATTACTAATTATTTTCAAGACTTACAATTAATTAATTTTGGTAATAGGTACAAGTTAAAATTAAAAAAAGTTTTGTATTAGGGAATAGAAGTTTTTTTTAATATGGAGAAAAGGTACTTTATTCGAATTTGAGAACCGTATAAAAATTTTCATTGCATTATTAACGATCCTTAATTAATTTTGGTAAAAGGGGTAAATTCAAATAAGAAAATACATTTTGTACTAAAAAGATAAATTAATGGGGGGAAAAGTACATATTCGTATAGGGAAGCAAAAAAAAATCATAATATTTTTTTGACGCCAATAATACTTAATTAATTTTGATAAAAATGTACTACTGATATTACGTTAATCGGTATTTTTAATAGATAATAATTGCGCTAATATTAACACCAAGATATCTACTATAAGTACTATGGAAAAAAAAATTTTACTCTCACCGAAAGGGTTAAATATTGGAGGAAATTGTTGATTATGGTAATTTTTGACTATCAGGAGTTGATCTCGAGCAATGGCATTATCACAAATGATACTGAATATAGTTAACCTCCATCTTGATTGGATGAACTAAGAATGAGTTTTGCTTAATATAATATTCTTAAAGTCGTAGGGAGATGGGCAACAAATAATAATAAATAAGAAAAAAATTTAATTGTTTCAGCTTAATTGCGACGGTATGCGTCTTGTTTTGCTGACAGTTTTGTGCATGATTTCGTAATGTTGATCATTACGCATTTATTGATTATTCACTTTTAAGCCACGCAGTACGAAGAACGGGTATTCAGCTATTTTAAATAAAAATAGTGAGGCGGAGATAACCTGGTTGGCAGGATGCTGGACTCTCGTTTGTGAGAACGGGAATTCGAATCCAGCCGGCCGAAGACTCCCCGTGTAGTAATTGGTGACTGGTGCATGTTAAATCTTTCGGGTCACGAAGTCCTCCATATTCCCATAACAAATAATACCTCTGGAGGTACTGAATTGGAAATTGATCGTTCTCTAGTTCTGGTCAAAATTACGATATGTGGATGAATGAATGAGTCCGCCCTATAAGAGGGTGTGACGTATGGATGTGGTAGAAGTCGAATTCTTGGTCATAGATGGGGCTACTGTAGAGCAAGAGCAATCGCACTCCTTGCCTTAATGGCCAGAGACAACAACAACAAATAAAATCAGTACTTCATGAAGGTCAAAGTGATTCACTCTTTAAGCTGAACAGTTCTAAGGAAGATTAGGGTGCACCGATGACTATATTATATGATGGTCAGAGAAATATTACAATATTAAAAAACGAGGCTTTTGCCTGTTACACAGTGCTGGAGATGGAATAGCGGATATTAACTCTGATTCCCGAGGTCTAGAATTTTTCCCTTCCTTACTTTTGCTCACAACGAGCGCCTATTTATGACACAGGGCAAGCAGGTTCGAAGCCTTTCTTGGGCTAAAGATTTCGTAAGAGCCCTTCCAACAGCATGCAATCAATACAAATACATTACTCCAGTCCAATTCACTATGCATTTAATTTATACTGTCAGCAAATTGTACCGAATAGGCGTAAAATTAACACATTCACGAAATTTCTAGTCACCGATACAGAGGCAGAGAAAACAGCAACTTCTGCAATGTCCCCGATATTTTCCGAGCTTAAAATATTACTCTCGTTAGGGTGGTTTAGGTGCATAGGTCGGATGTTAATTGCTACTATTTGCTATCCTATCTAAATTGTGGGGGTGTGGAGTGTACATGCATCAGCACTGTCTTCGCATCATCAGCCACCAATAGCCCACTAATGCAGCATTACAACCAAACCAAATTAAACAAAAATCACTGCATCCGGATTGGTCGATGCGAATTTCGCTAATGTGTGAACTTCCTACATGCACACTATTTGCTTACAAAAGAAATGGAAGGAATTGAAAATATGATTCCTGCAATGCATCGCATCAACTGTCAACCATTCAAGAATATGCATATCAATGATTACCTTGTTAGATAGAAGTAACATTTGTAGGTTTTTTAGGAGCAGATATCATCCGGTCTCCGCATCACTCTCCTCATCTGCTCTGCTCAACCATGTTATGGACTTCTCTACTGATGAAAGAAAATTTCGCAGATGCGTGTATTAGCCAAAGAAAACAAATATTCTCAGAGAGAACTGAAAATCAAAACATTAAACCATGGTATGCATATTGTTAATGATGATTTTGCAGTTAGTTTTTTCGCATTTGTATTTATTTATTTATTTATTCAACTTTCTTTAACAGATATTTTTAGTTTCTTTAGTTCCATGTTGAAATTTATCTTCTCCTACTTGTGTCCTTGGGAGGTTTCTTTAGAAAGCTTCACGAGAAACACTTTTAACTTCATTGTCATCGTAAAACAAACGTTTTCAAAATAGGTGGAGCTTATATTTTTTCTAAGCGAATCAGAGACACTATACAGATTGCGCTCTAATGCAAAGGTCGTTTTCGAGGTGAAACAATTTCTGAGTTCTATTACAAACTTTAAAATTTTTAAAAGGTATGAGCACTAATGGTCATTCACATTTCAAAAAATTAAAATCGGATATGCCTGCGAAAGTTGCTGTCGTTTTGGGAGCCCAGTGGGGTGACGAAGGAAAAGGGAAGGTTGTGGACATGCTTGCATGTGATGCCGATATCGTCTGCAGGTGTCAGGTAAAATTCTATATTTTACCAAGTTATATTTAGTTTGCATTTGTCTAGTAAACGTTTAAATAAAGTTTATACTCTGAACAATAAATTTTACATTTCCTGCATGTGTGTGACACCTTATTTGAAACATAACCGTAAGAATTTGCCCTTTGTTTTTAAAGAATATTTCGAAAAAGTTTCGCTTTTATAACTCGAACTCGTTAGCATACTTTGCAGTTATCTCTCATCAAAATAGGTAAAAAAAACTTAGCTGTAGCAAGTAATCTACATTTAACAGTTTTTATAGTACGCATAATACATGATAACTATACAACAAAACGGTGTAACTTTACCAAAAACTTAGCAGTTATTAGTTTCACTTCTAAATCTACTTAGCCTACTTCACTTCTAAATGTATTTATGTTCCATTTTAATTGCCTTACAATCTACTCAAATTATAACCCTCTTAATATATTACATTCTCATTTACTATTTGTTTGTTTACATTTTCATTTGTAATTGAGGAAATATTATAATATTCATTTTTCATACGTTATTAGCAAATTTAAGTTATCTTTAAGATATAAAATTTACATCTTACAAAATATTCCATTATGAATACAAAATATTGCTTTCTAGTATGCTTAAATTATGACATTTTTTATTAGTTCACATTTTTATATTTAAATAACTGTTCATGTACATTATCATACTTGTCTGACCATTTGTTTACATTTTAATTCATGAGCTATTGTACATGAAAAATTAAATTGGAATTAATCTTCCTGATAAAAATTTTATTTATATAAAGACATTTAATTTTCTCTTTAGAATAGTTATTAACTTGTTATAAAAGTATAGTCCTTTTTTAATCTTTATTTAGCTTTATATCTTATCAAAAACACATTTTTTCAAAATAATGATTTTAAATTTTTTTTAAAATCAGAATTCTAAATGTATACATATTTTATACTACTGTAAAGGGATGTCTTTTGCAATGTAGTTTGAAAATCAAATTTTTTTTTTGCAAGTTTAAAACAGATTTTTTTTTTAATTTTCAACTATAATTAGACTTTTTTAATTGAATGTGTGTCCTAAATTTCTTTGAAACTGCAATTTATTTGCATAATCAATTTGAAGAAACTTTTTTGTCATTTCCATCTTTATTTGTTGAATCCTTATAGCTACAATGGCTTAGAAGTATTAATTATGAAATAAACATCAGGTATTAAAGGGTTGATTCTTAAAAGTTAGAATAATTGTGTTTACAGGGGTCAGTCTAGCTTCTTCTGAGAGGTACCTATTTTGTGAAAATTTAGACATAATTTGTGAAAATTAAAATTATTATATTAAATTAAAATTATTATATAATAATTATATTTAAAAAAATCAACACAAAAATATGGATTTATCATTTTTCACGAGACACAAAAATAAAATTTTAAGAAAAAGTGTTTTGTGAAACTACCGTTTTTCCCAAAGTTGAATTCGTGAAGGTACCTCTAAACGTTAGTAAATTTGGCCTGGACAGACCCCTGGTTTAACAAAGTTATTTTACATGTGACATAGAATTTTTAAATCTAATATTAATGAAACATTAAGATACAAGATGTCTTATATTTAGGGTGGCAACAATGCTGGCCATACTGTAGTTGTTGAAGGTAAAGAATATGATCTACATATACTACCAAGTGGAATTATCAACAAAAATTGTGTCTCCATCATTGGTAAGTTTTAAATGTTCATCTTAAAATATTTACTAGCAAAGAGATTGTAAATAAATATTAATATTATGTTATATTATCATTTTAATTTCTAATTTCTTACTGAGAACATTTTCTATGGGCAAAATTGAATAAGCTATTGTCTAAGTTAAAATTAAAACTTAGATTGAGTTGTGTACAGTAGATTCTCAAAACTAGATTGCTTTTCATTGTAAAAGACCAGATTTCAGAAAATTTCTAATTTTAGATGTTTTATCTAAGCCTATAAAGGAGGTTAGACTAAAAAATTTTTTAAAAAAAATATTGCATTTGATTCCATCATAATTATAAACCTTCATAGCTTTTTTCTTTTCGGCTGTTATTTGCTGAATTTTCTCTTGGCTTTTAAAATCTTTATATTTTAATGGGTTTTTATGATTGTCATTTATTCTGTTAACGTTTGTACAGTGCATTTCTATGTGGCTTTTAAGATAATGAAATATTATTACAGCACTCTAATTAGAATCTGTGCATTTAAATAATCACTTTTTACCACACTTGATTTCATATAATTGTGCAGGTTTTTTTCAACAGTTATTTCTAGACTTCCTCATAGTCTTTAAAATTTTGATATTTTTACTACGTCAGTTTTACGATGTGTGAATTTTGAAATGGTTCTCCATCTCCATTCACGATGATTTTATTGTAAATTCATGTGGTCTTAATTGTTTTTTTCTTTCTTTTTGGAAGAAATTACTATAATTCCTTTTAAATCACAATAGTGTAGCAAACACAATTAAGTAATAATTTTTTTTCCCTTTAGTTCATGAGAATTTTATCATAAATATATTAAGTTTTACCAGTTTTTTCAGTTGTTATTTCTAGAGTTGTGGAGTTAGAATATAAGTTACAGATTTTTGGTAAAAAGTGGTAGTCATGGATTGACTAAAAACACTCCAATTCAGATTCTAGTTTTTGTTGGACAGTTAGAATTTGAAATTAAAGTGAATTGAAATAAATTTAATGAGAAACTGAGTTATTATTTTGCGAATTATATACATTAATAAATATTTACTTTATTTGGTTATTTTAAATTAGTAACATGCATATTTGTTATTAAGAGTATCTTGCAGAATGATATTTATTGGTACTAGAGAGGTATGTCGCAGGGTTAATCACTGTGTAATTATATAGCACTTAATCAAAAACATCTGCATCTTTAAAAAATTAAATAACTATGTAAATATTCTATAAATTGTAGAATTGTTAAAAATTTCCACAGACGTTATCATTGGAAGATGTTGTTTTGCAACATTTTCCGATGGGTCTCAGTCTTCCTCTATTGCCCATTCTATGCTGCTCCTATTCTTGGCTGAGATTTTCTAACTGTAACTTTAAGTTTTCAGGTCTTTTTTTTTATGTTGTCAATTCACTTCTGATCTTCCCTCCTTTTTTTNTTTTTCTTTATTTTTTTTTTTTTTTTTTTTCCAACGGCTTGATTATCACCTAATCGTATTCGATGTAAATTTATTGTTCTGCCTTGATTTAATAATATCTGGCACTTTAGACAGTTTATAAATTTCAAAGTTGGTTCTTCTCCACTTTTAATCAGATTTTATTCCTCCACATTCTTCTTAAAACTCTTCTTTTGAATATAGCAAGAGTTTCTTTATCTTTTTCAGTCATTGCCTATGTTTAAGCAGTGTATAGGGGAATGTAAACAATTTTTTTTGTTCTTATGAAATCAGGTTTCAAATATTTTTATAAGTAAAAGAAAAGACTAAGGAGAGCTTTCAGATTTATCTCCAATTATATTTCCTTATTATTAACTCTGCATATTTTTCTACCCTTTTAATTATTCAAGTTTTAAATATTTACTAGGTTTATATTTTGCAAAACAAGATTCTAACAAAAGAACAAAACTCTGGAAATCTTTTAAAAATTAATTCACACACTTTGCTACAAGTTTTTAATGTAGTTGTAAATTACTTGTACCTATATCTTTTTGTATAATTTTAACCCTTATTTTTTTTATTTTTCTACATTACCCAATCTGTAGAAATGCTAATTACGTATTTGAACGTGAAAATGACTTTTAATTTGATGTAAAAATTACTTAATTAGATGTGTTTTAGCTGTGTCATTGTCTCTTTGTTTTTTATAAGCTTGAATGAGTCTTTTGTATTTATTAAAAAATTACATAAATTTTTTTCCAGGAAATGGTGTTGTTATAAATTTGCCACAATTTTTTGAAGAAATAAAGAAAAATGAGGACAAAGGCTTAGATAGTTGTAAAGGCAGAGTGTTCATTTCTAATAGAGCTCATATTGGTAAGAATAATACCTAAATAAATGCTCATTTTTTTAATGTACAAACGAGTTATAATTTAACTTTCCAAATTTTTAGTTCATTTTTACTTTCTGATATAATATTGATATATATAATCACAGTTAAAAGCTAAAAGGATTAGCAGTCCTTTTTAAAATGGTTTATTTTAAAAAGGACTACTATTGTATACTTAAGATCAATAAAATAAACTATTGTATATTTTTTTATTATTAAAATCGATTTAAAATCTATGTTATATGAAATGGTCTATATTTTTATGAGATTTTTATCCCCAAGTTTGGATTAATTAATTACATGACTTTAAAAAATTAAAATTCTTATGAAAATCAATAAAATAAATTATTGAATTTTTTTAATTTCTGAAATCAATTTTAAATCTATGTTTATACATTAAATGAATTTATTATATGACTTTTAAAAAAAATTGTAGTTGGTAGATCAGTTGTTACAAATTTGAAAAAAAAAATAAGCACTTACGAATGACAGGATTGAATGGCATAAAAAAAGGTAAAAGGCATGTAAAGAAAGTTTCAGTTTGGAAGCACCATTGTTATAAACATTACATTAATGTGCTATACACTGCAACTTTTTAACTCCTTGATATTAATTGTTTTCAACTTTACAGTTTTTGATTTTCATCAAACAGTTGATGGCCTTCAAGAGCAAGAAAAGGGAAACAAAAGGTGAGCAAAAATTTATGTAGAATTTTATATTAGATAATATTGCTAAAACTTAGCTAAACGGCCGATCTAAATTTTGAATTACTGAAATTTCAATATTTTTGGGACTTGTATAGAAATTTGAATCTAGGTGACTTCTCGTCTTATAAAAAATGCGAACAAAGAGTCAGTATATACGTATCAAACTACAGAATTTGTTCTCTTGCGCCATTTAAGGCTTGAAAAAGAAAGGAAATGTAAGAAATAATGAGAATTTTTAATAGTAGGTAGAGTATAGGTGTAACTTTATATCGAGCAATATCCTTGATAAATATGATGATGATTTTTTTTAAACATGAAGCAATTGTTAACTCTTCACTGTGCTGTTTTGTGTATCTGCAAAGCTAAGATGGAATTAGATTTTCTCTGATCAAGATCAGAGTTGTAGATCAAGAGCATTATTAGGCTATTTTTCGTCAGCCTGTAACAAATGTATTAAATATTATTGATTAGATGTTTACTCTCAGAACTCCTATGACCCATCCACGGAGCCGTAGGGTTCCACACTTGGAAAATTCTGATCTAGAGAAATTTGATGGGTAAAAGAGTGACTGGGTTGAATATTTCTATTTTTTATTCTGTATTGTTGTAAAATTGTGACTCACAACGTATTGATAGTTTTATAATAAAGATTTTACCAAGTGATGTTAAAATATAAATAGTGATAATTTTATAATGAAGTTTAGTGAGCCTCACTTTGGTTTCTCTGGAGATTTCTCATTGATTGATAATTGTTGTTTTAGAAATTCAGATTAGGAAATTTTTTAATTTTTTTTTCAGCTTGGGAACTACAAAAAAAGGCATTGGACCTACCTATTCTTGCAAAGTATGTCTATTTAATTAAAACTAATTGAAAATTTTATTTATGTTTCTAACCAGCCAATAAAATTTAATAATTTTTAAAATTTAGGCCAATCGTAGTGGAATCCGTTTAGCTGATTTGCTGGGAGATTTTTCTGTTTTTGAAGAAAGGTAATCTTATTTTTAATTTTAATAAATAAAAGCTTTAAAATTTGCGCTGCTTTATTTATTACTTTCAGTTATGTGCTATCATCACAAAGAGGGTCAATGATTGTTCATCAAGTTTTAATACTTTATGTTAATTAACATTAGCTTGTTTTTTTATATAACATATAGCTTGTTTTTTTATATAACAGTTAAGAACTACCTAAAAGAGAAACTAAAGCATTTAAATAAAAGTAGTGTACCTATTTTTATTTTCATTGCTTCACCTAATATATATATTGTTTGATAATCTCATCCCAACTTGATTAGTATTCAGATTTGCAAAATTTACAAAGCAATCTGTTTTTACCAAACGCTTGACTGAAAAAATGCCATTTTATCACAAAATTTAAAGTAATAATGAAAGTTATTCTATATTAGTTATAAGCATCTTAAATAACTGATATGCTGGTGGAAAAAAAAAATATTTTTCTTTAAAATTGGTTCCATTGACGAAATATTTGTTTTTTAGGTTTCAATCCTGGAATTCAAATTTTAAATCTGTATTGAAAACTTTTTCAGTTATTCCCTATTAGCCCATTTTGTGAAAAATATTTTTTTTTGTTTTAATTAATCACTGTAAAAAATTTTTCACAATATCTAGAAATAAATTTTAAAAAGTAGGACTATAACTGTATTTGTTGCAAAGATATTTATGATGCCAATAAGTGAGTTTTTGAACAGTTGAAGAAACGTTTTGTTTTTGAAAAGCAGACTCGAAATCAATACTTTCTTTCTTTGATAAATCCAGGGCTGATTGTGCTCCAAAAAAATACGGATTTTTTAACGGTGATCCGGAAGTTTCCGGAGATCGAAGATCCAAACATTTCAAAAAATCATTGATCACAGAAGTTTCCGGAAATCAAATTTTCAAAGGTGGAACTTAAAAACACAGTTTATTTTATTTGTTTGTAAGGGAGAGCCAGAGAGGTACTTTATAAGCTTATATTCATGATTAATATTCATTTTTTATCCGTAAATAGTTGTTATAATTATAAACTCAAGAAAGACATATTTATAAATTTTAATTACTTCTCCAGGTCATCATAGGTATGTCAATGGTATAGGTATTTGTAAAATTTTAAATATATTTTAAGTAAACTAAGAAATATTAAGAAAAAGGAAAAAAAAACCTTGTTTAAATTTTTTCCTAATTTTTCAATTTAAACTGGGTTTTTTTAACTCACGAAATTTTCCGGAATTTTGACTTGGGCTCACAATTACCCCTGTAAATCTTTGAATTGATTCATTGAGGCTGAAAGAGAGATATATCCCTTTAAATAACCAGCATAGTCATAACTGGAGATAACATGTATTTTAGAACAAATTTTACAGTTATGTAAAATTTCTTTCAACTGATTTGTTATCTCTTGTTATAATTTTGAAATAGTTTCAATATCAAAATAGTATTATGAACATCATTTGACTCTTACATTCATTCATATCACATTCTATAATAATTCTAAGCAGAAAATTTGTTTATTGACATATTTTATATTTTAGATATGGTGCATAGTCATTAATTGTTTTAGAAATATTGTATTCCGTCTTAATAAAAAATATTTGGTTAACTATTAGTTTATCTTTTTCCAAGTCATTAATTGATTTATATCATTCCTTATAAATTACATGAATGTTTTTTTTATTAATTTAATACAATTTTAATCAGAAGTTAATTTTTTATTTACAAATTTCTTCTCACGTGGTAAGATAATTCTCAATTGATAAGAGCAAGTCTTAAACTGGAATACGTATTTAATTTCTGAAGCCCGATAATTGTTTTTTGATAAATAAATGTAGTTATAAAATATTAATATTTAATTATTTATTCTTGCTTTTATGGCTTGAGGAAATTTCCAAAATACTGTTCTTGTTGGGTTTTTTTTCCAACAACTATAAGTATTTTTATCATAACTTTTTTTTTGTTATTTCTGAAAAATAGTAAGTCCTTAAAAATGTCTTTACTTTTTATATTTGATTGTATGAATTGAGTTATTTGCATGCATATATATGTTAACATAAGATATCAAATTATTTTAATATATTTATCACTATAAACTGTTTTCAGATTTAGGCAGCTTTTAAAGTCTTATATGCTACAACATCCCAGTTTAAATGTGAACATTGATCAAGAAGTCAAAAAATATAAAGTATATGTCTCTTATTTTTTTCAATTTATTACATCTATTTTCGAATAAGTTTGTATCTATTTATTGTCTAAAATTTTCTTTTCTCATTGTTTCACTTTTTGTCAACGTTTTGTTTCATTTTTTATGAAACCCTTAATTTAAAAGTTTCCTTTTTGGAGGGGGAAAAAAAGGAAATTTAAAATTATAAGCCTTAAATTTTTTATCTTAAAAATTTTTTTTTTTAATTTTACTTTATTTTTAGATCATCAAATGTAATACCAAAAACTTATAGTTAATTGATTTTCAGATCATTGATTTTTTTTTTTTTTTTGCANTTTTTTTTTTTTTTTTTTTTTTTTTTTTTTTTTTTGCAATTTAATTGCTTGTTGAAATTTCTCTAGATATAAAATAATTCAAAATAAGCAGTGTTGTTTTTCATTGCTATTTAGAAAGAAAAAAAATGATAAATGGGCCTGATCATAATTGTTAAGAACTACTATGAATAAATTTCATTCTTATTTTTTGAAGCAAAAACATTAGGTTAAAATTTATAATTGCTAATCTGACATTAATCATGTTGCGTGTAGCTGCTTACTCTATTGGATTTTCTAATAGACTACAATATTTAGCTAGTTTCTTGTTTTTTGTCATAACTAAAATTTTGGAAAGTTCCTATAATAATTCTCATTCTCCCCCCCCCCCCCCCCCNNCCATCTCCCCCCCCCCAAGAATTGTCTACTACTGAGTAATATTAAATAAAGTACAGCTCAAACAAAAAGTTAATTTTATTTTTTTTAAAAAGTTGTTTCCTTTAAGGTATTCAGCTTAAAACTTTTCTTTTTCATATAATTGTTGAATTTTTATTTAGAACTTCCTATTTTAAAATTATGGATTTTTTAAAATTATAATATGCATAACAGTTGTATTTAATTGTTAGTCAAAAAGAAAAATATTGTCTCCAATTCAAATTTTTTAAGTAACCAGTGTAATATTTTTATATTTTATTTTCCTTTATTGGTTATAAAGAATATCCAAGTATCCCATGTGTAAAATATTCTATATATTCCAATATTTCCCATAAAATAATGAGTCTTTCATAAAATCTATTAGTTTTTTTATTCTCTATTGTTGGCAGGTTTAATAAATTCCTTGTTATTCAAAGTAGTAACAGATTGTCTAGAGATCTAAATCAGGAGTAGTCAGAACATTCTTTTGATTTCTGTAAAAAGTCAGAGAAGTTTATATAAATCTTTATTTATAGTCATAGTTTTATTTAAGTCAAAAGTTCATTTAAATTGTGCAAATGATTTTACAAAAAGTGTAATGAGGAAAAACAAGTGGTGCTGGAAATTTTAGGATCAGTATCAAAAAGTCTTAAAAATTTCAACTAGATTTTTCTTCAGACCATATTAACCAATATACTTATTCTTTATCCTGTCTTTACTTAAACCATCTTAAATAATTTGTATCTAGAACTTCATTTGTAATCTATTTGAATTTAGTTATTTATGAGCTGTTCTGAAATATATCCATCAGTCTCAATAACAGGCTAATATTGCTTTAAAATTCTTAACTTCATTCATTAGGACTATGCCACAGCTATGGCCCCTTTTGTGATGGATACCGTTTCATATCTACATCATGCTATTGCTAGCGGAAAATCAGTTGTAGTCGAAGGAGCTAATGCTGCACTTTTAGATATTGATTTTGGTAATTGCTCTATGCTTATATTATAAGGTAGTTTTTTTTACCTTTTGCTAAACAGGTGGGGCTTAAAAATTCCTGTAATTATAGTTAATCCTCTTTTATTTTATAGGTACTTATCCTTATGTTACCTCCTCTAATTGCACTGTTGGTGGAGCTTGTACTGGATTAGGGATCCCACCTACAGTCATTGGTGAAATTTATGGTGTTGTCAAAGCATACCAAACAAGAGTGGGTGATGGACCTTTCCCAACTGAATTATTCGATGTAAATTTTCTTGACTTCATTTCTTTAAACTGAAAAAAATTTCATTTTAAATATTTTAGATAAATATAATTTAAAATTAATCCATTTTAGTTTTTACTGCAATTTAGTGTTACTATATTATTTAGGAACTTGGTGAAGAGCTTCAAACCAGAGGTGCAGAAATAGGTGTAACTACAAAGCGTAAGAGAAGATGCGGATGGTTAGATGCTGTGCTTCTACGTTACTCTAATATGATCAATGGCTACACGGCGTAAGATATTTCATTAGTTTATTCGTCTAAATTATCTATTAATGCACTGAGACTAAATTTTGTATAGATTTTATTTTTCCAATGGCTTTACAAAATGTAGCAAGTAAAAACAAGGAACAATAAAAAAGTAATTGCAACCTTTACCCAGTAACGCTTGACCCAGGTAGTCCCACCAAGCATTCCAAAATAGAATATCTGGTAGCCTTCTATAATTATGTGATCACCTCAATGTGTACCATATATTCCGGCGTATAATGCGCACTTTTAATACAAAAAATAACATTGGAATTTACGGGTGCGCGGTATACACCGAATATAAAAAATTATAGATTGAAAAAATTTAAATATAGAAAAATACTTTTATTTTAAGGAAATAACATACCTTTACCTATATACTTTATTGATTTTCGTTATTACATAAATAGTTCATTATATTCGTCTTCCGTTATTTCTTCAGGCACGTCATCACAATCTGTTTCATCTTCATCATTTGTGTTACCCTCATCCATAAATAGTCATCTTCGGATTCGTCCAGATTATTTAAAATGCTGCATTTTTTGGATGATTTTCTAACCATCTCGGACTTAATTTCATCCCATACTTTTAATATCCATTCGCACACTGTTTCCAAACTTGCATGACGCATATGTCCTTTCGTAAAGGTTTTCTCGCCCTCCAACATCCAAGTGTTCCACTGTTTTTTTAAATTGGCTTTAAATGGTTTGTTTAAGCAGACGTCCAATGGCTGAACTACTGGTGTCAATCCGCCCGAAATAACTGCCATATCGGTGTTACATTCTTTCAACAATTTTTTTGTATTATCTGTAAGGTGGGACCTAAACATATCCCACACTAAAAGGCTTTCTGGTTTTCTATTGATACTAGACGAGATATTGCACCTGTACAATCCAAATTTTCGTGCGTGTTATACGAAGAGTATATCTTAAAATTTAAGAAAAGTTATTAGAAATTACGGGTGCGCGTTATGCGCCGGAATATACGGTGTATTAAATGTCCAGAAAGACTAATTTTTTAGATGTCTAGCCAGACAATCAGGCTAAGTAAAAAATCACTGCAAACACGTTAAGAGTCTTAATTGTACTAAATGGGACATTGTTCTGTGTATATGAAGCCACATGCCAAAGTTTACAAATCTCTTTGTCTGTTGCCAAAATCACACCACGTAAAGGTAGACCTATATCGTGCCCCAAATCTCTAACAAAGATTTAATGAGCTGCTGTGAGTGAGTAATTAAGAGTTATTGTTAAAGACAAAAATCAACATTAAAAATCACTAATATATTTATTGTTAAAATTGCATGCACTCGTCAAGCGTCTCTAGCAAAAAGATAAATAAAACCGAAAGTGTAAAATGCATTATTTTATCACTCCTTTATAATATTTGTCATTTTCTTGTAATGCACTGTGCTCTTAAGATAATGCTCCTACGTAACATCCAAGCATATCTTATTTTATTCTTATATTGTTGCGATTTTTTAACATTGATTTCTGTCTTCTGCTATCATCATTACAAAAGTTTTTACTTACTATTTTGTTTTTAATATCTGTATGAATTTTATGGTTATTATTATAATTATGCAAGGAGAATTATGTATCATTTAAAGCATCAAAATGAAATACCAAGATATTTCATAGTTTCAAAATTTACTGCTTTTGGTTATGTTCATTGTAATTTTGAATGTATTATTCAATTAGCTCAACTGACCATTATTTAGGTAGTAATAGATACTTTTTTAGCTAGTAAAAATAATGAAAATTCAATATTCTAAACAGTAAAGGTAGACACAACTATAAAACTTCTAACATTGATATTAAAATAAAAAATTTATGTAACAGCATTTGTTCCATTTCACTCTGATTATCACTGGTTATCTGCTTTATGTATAACGTATTTCTTATACACCCTGTAAGTTATTTATTTTGAATTTAGTTATTTTAAATAGGATTTATTGTTTTAGAAAATGTCAAAATAAATTTTTTTGGGGGGAGGAAAAAAAAAACTTTAAAAACTTATGCAAGTTTTTATTACTATTTTTTAATGTTTTGCGTACCCTTATTTTTTTCTTTTAAACATTTATAAAATATTTACAGTTTCAAAAATTTTTTTAATATTTAATACATTTTTATTTGTTGAATGTTTTTGTTCATGTATCACAAAACTGCATTAATGTTTGCTTTATTTTCAGGGTTGCTGTTACAAAATTGGACATTTTGGATACTTTCAAGGAAATAAAAATTGGTGTTGCATATCATTTAAATGGAAAAAGATTACTAGCACCTCCAGGTGTGTTTATATATTATTCATTTTAAAAATTTGATTTTTATTCATTAATGAAATACTCTTTAAACTTAATATCTGTAAAAAATGGTTGTAGATTACAAAAATTTAACAAGATGTAGAAGTTTCCCTCTTTTTAAAAAAAAAAAATTATATTACAATTGATAGAAAAGAGACGATTCACGTTCGAGAATACCTTTTTCTTTATTCTACTTATTAAAAACTATTATGTTTTAATTTTCTTTTCAGCTTGTGCTTCTGAATTGCAAAAGGTGGAAGTGGAATACATCACTATTCCTGGTTGGAATTCTAGTACTGAGAAAGTTAGAAGTTTTTCAGAGCTTCCAAAAAATGCCCAAAAATACATATCCACAATAGAAGAATTAGCTGAAGTTAAAGGTAGACTAAATATTTTCATTTCCTCCATTTAATGTATTATCAATGTTTTAAGTCTAACTTCACTAATTTAATATTAATAATAGAACTTTAATGACAGTGCAATTGAGTAGCTGTCTGTTTTTAAAGATCTTTCATTTTAAGAGCTCCCAAAAAATTCGCTTAATTTATACTAATATACTTGATACTATGTTCTAAATAATGATTATAATAAATACCAAAAAGTCAGATCAAAGGGATTGTCAAGGCTCCCAAACAAGAACCCTTATACCCCTTTAGTTCATTTTGAACATATTGTCCAGTTTTTGGACCCTCAAATCTGACTTTTTTTTTTAATCTTAATTTTTTGAGTTTTTTTTTTAATTAAATTAAACTTAAATTCACTGCAAAATGGAGTGCTTAAAATAAATACATAATTTTTGCTAAATGTGTTGTCTTGAAAGCTATAAAACAATTGCTGGATTCCATACTCTATTTTCAGTTCGCAGTTTAATATTTAATAATTTAATGTTTGAAAAGATCTAATATTCAGTAAAAGCATTTCGACAATATCCTATTAAGTGCAAGGAGAGCCATGAAGCTTAAGATTCCTCAATTTAATGATAGACAGCATGATGGTGGTAATTGGACCATAATACTGAATATGCCAACCAAATTTGTTTTCCAGACAAGCTTATTCCTATTGTACTGAAGCTACCTAGCTTCAGAACAAAGACAACACAGGGCTTCAAGACACGACCAGGTTTTCAACCTCTATCCTTCTCAATAACAGCTCAGTGCTTTAACTAATAAGGCATAGTGGCGAACCTAATAATTGAACTCTGGAAAGGATCATTTTCTAATCTAAAATTTTCTTCTAACACCCGTAATGTTCAGTTATACATCCTATATCTTCATTACTTTGAAATGTTGAATTTATTGAATTAAATATAATCAAAACTGAAAAGCAGTGGCCCTATAGTCTACTAAATATATACAATGTGTTATATCTGCTACTTTTGAAATGGCCAAATATTCCATTAATTATATACAACTGTTTCAAACATCTGATGTTACCTGCAAGAATTTTTTTTTTTTTCAGAATTTTTAGAACTTGAGAAATTTTATACCAAATAAAGTTTTAAAGTGAGCAATTCAGGTGTCATTCATTTATTTATTATTTTTGTGGAAAGGAATTTAGCAGTTTCTAAATTTATGATCTGCTTTTTCATATGAAATAAAAAAATAATTAATCTCAATTGATGCTTCAATAATTGCTGTAAATTTTAATGAGAAATTAAACAGATAATAAAATTTTTAAAAGAAGTAACCCAATTAATTACTCGGTAAATTATGAAATGTTGAAACATCCAATTTTTTTTTCCCCTGTTCATCTCAATTCACAACATATTTTGAATTCTGTATATTTTTTCATCTATGTATTCATCCATAATAGTTTTTTTTTTTTCAAGAAACCAGGGGCCTTAAAATTTTAAATTTTATTGTTGTAAAATTTAAAGTTCTACTGTATTTACAAAGAGTTTCAATGTTGTGGAATTCTTTGGTGTACTGTATTAAGTTTCCTTTTTTATATCCACTAAGCATCTAAATTTTGAATTTTTTGTGAAATGAGGCATAACTTATCTATACTTTAATGTAGCTCTGATATATATCTTTAGCATCATATTCAAATATTTTATTCAAAGTCTCTATCTAGAGATTGTCACACCTTTAGTGTTTCTCCATAAAGGGTAGTGTCACAATTAATGTGTCATTTAATATCATCTTCACTTAAGATGCCATACAACATTAGGTATACCACACGCAAATTCCAATTAATGAATTCAAAGTAATCAAAAGCTTGCAAGTGTTATCTGCGGCAGTGAAATTTTTCAGTTTTTTTCTTTAAGACGGTTTACCCTGCTTTTAAGATCCTACTTAGCAACTTGAGAACTCTGTTCTCAACAATTAGACATGGGATGAACAGGCAGGATTGCGATTTGCCAAGTCTTCTAGATAATGCCCCAAGATGATTACATTTAAAATATTCTGCAGATACTGCTGATTAGCACGAATTTGTTGATCAAGAACTGAACTTCGTACTACAGAAGATAAACTTTCTAACTCTGGATTACTTTCAAATCATTAATTAAAATTCTTCTGTGCTATATCCTTCCACTATTTTTAAAACTAAGTGAATATAATAATAAATCACTCATCAATTCAGGCACTATGTGCATTTGAGAAATCAGGGTTGCTACTCCACAGAGAGTACAAGGAAAACCTTGAAAATACTGACAATTTAAAAATCACCTAAAATAACAGGGAAAATGCAGAAAATTTTGAGTTTTTCCTTACATTGCATTTTCATACATTATTCTCACGTTTAAATTAATTTATTATTTATATCTTCTAAAATGCAAAATAAGCTATTGTGTATTGTTCTAAAGAAAATGAAATTTCCTCTTATTACAATCTTTTTATGATTAAAAATATGCTGAAAAAATTTTTAAATTCAAACAAATTCTTATGTTATGTACAAACTTATTATGTTTTTCTTAATTAAAATTGTTAATTAAAACTTCAACTTGTTTCAGTGAAGTGGATAGGAGTCGGCAAAGATAGATCATCCATGATTGAAGTATTTTGAAATTATATTTGCATATAACTGTCAGAATTATTACTATGACCTCTGTCCTTAAGATGGTTTTACATGTGATTTCAATTCCTTCTGAAGATCAAAAAAAGAGTCGCAAGATTTAAGATTTTTGTCTCAAAATATGGCATTGATTTTTTTTAAAAAAGAGATTTGAAATTTTGTTTGATCTTTGCATTTTATCTTATTTTTAATTTTCTTTAGAAAAGGATTTCAAGTATTTTTATCATTGCATTTTTGTTTGTATTGTATCTCTGCCATTTGCTGTCTTATAAGTATTACTAAATAAACCTTTCTTTTTCATTTAAGAATAAAAAAAGCTGATAGGTATTCTAAAAAAAATGTAACATTTGTTTGTTTTTTTATTATTAGAAAAGCAATTCAAAATTATAGGTTTTACGAAATATTTAAAATCTGTTTAATTGCATATAAATTTACTTTTTTTAATAGGGGAAAAAATAACTTTATTTTAGAGTTTATTTCAACTTATTCTTGATCAAATTAAGTGTTTTTTAAATATGCTTAAAATTTTTTTGAACAAATTATAAAAGGCTAGTATGTGAACTGAATATGAAAAGTTTGTTAAACTCTATTGTAAATTGTACCATCGTCGATTTTCAAAATGCTATATTCAGAATTATCTTAAGCATTATTTGGTTTTACTTTCAGTATTTTTACAAATTTTTTATATAAGTCTTGAATGTGCTTAACGCTGAATGATTTTATTAAATAGTACTTAGTTATAAAATTAAATTATTTTTCAGAAATTTAACTTTATTATATTTGCTAAATGTACCCGTCCATAAAGTGCATCTTCACAAGCTTAAAGATCTTTTAATGCTTCATATTCAGTCATTTGCTTGCTTTCAGTGGAAGCAAAACTAATAATAAGAGTTATAGTTTGTAACTTCAAGATTGTTAGTTAATATCTAAGCCATATTGCAGAAATTTCTTTGTAAATTTTGATTTTTACTAAAAGTTATATTTTTGTACTTATGTTTAAATATTGAAAATGTAACAACTTTGAAAAAGTATTCTAAGAATGCACACTGTTGGTTGTTCAGTTTTAAAGTAATTTTTAGCTCTTCATTGAATTTTACATTGTTAAAAAAATTTTGGAAAATAAAGTTTACAAATTTTGTTCAGTTTTCTGTTTTAGTTATTTAATCAATTTTTAAAGTTACTTTGTCTTTATTTTTCATCGCATCATTTTTCTCAATTTAGTGCATATGATTACCAAGCTCAAACTACAAGATTAAATTTTGAAGAAATTTCAGCTTAATTTAATTGATAAGCAATTCTCTGAAACATATCATTTCTAAAATGTTCTATTTTTTGATTTAATTGACGTTAATAAAATAAAACAAAGTTTTTTTTCCTTCCATATGCTGTTTATCTAAAAGAAATTTTTACCCTGTTGAATCCCTCTTTCAAAAACTGCTTATTGTATCGACATAAAATTAAGTTGAGAGCTGATATGCATACAATACCGTATGCTGTTTATCTAAAAGAAATTTTTACCCTGTTGAATCCCTCTTTCAAAAACTGCTTATTGTATCGACATAAAATTAAGTTGAGAGCTGATATGCATACAACACGACCGAACTGAATTAAAACCTATGTTTGTGTAAAAAATTAGATTCATTGAATCCCAATTGAAAAAAGTTATGCAAGATTTTGACATTAGTCTGTCATTGACACTGTCAGGTTTAAAAATTTTACTTTTTTTCTGTTTAAAAATTGGGGATACTTGAAAGAGGTTATAATTTACTTTCACTGAAAGTGTATTGGTTGATAAATCACTGAAAAAGATGTTCAAGTATGACTCAGTTTACGAAATGAGAAGTAAATCGATGAGAATAACGTCGTATAAATCTAGATGAAATAAGCTACTTAAGAAAATCATGGCTGGCAAACTGATGTAGTACTGCACAGCCTTGCTAATTCAAAGATATGTTATCAGGTTTGTTTTTTTATTTTAGTTTTCACCAAACAAAGAAAGTCCAATATTTTTTTATGAAAAGTAGAACAACATTGGCACTGAGGTCACATCCGAGTTACTCTCACTGGATGCGATACAGCACCTACGATTACCACGAAAGGAAAATGTGCACCTCATTTGTGAAATGAATTTTCCCACTAACAATTTCGAAGTAAAGTTCTTTTCTCTTGACGGCTATTGCCGTAGAGCAGAACTCTCTACCTATGGCAACACTTCACATGCTTTCCCCATTAGCGTAGAGAAAGAAAATACGCCTGATTCTCTATTTTCATACATATTAAAATTTTTTAACTTGGAAAACTATATGGAATTGAAAACTACATTAAACATAGTTTTAACAAAAAGTATCGCGGAAATTTTAAAAAATATTTTTATTAAATGAAAAGGGAGAAGGGCTAAAGGCAGGAAATCGAGTGTTGCGATTGCCAATCAGACCGGTCTGAACCGCATGCAAAAAAGCCCGCCTTTATTATATAAAAATGTCATTTTCAATGCATTTGTCTGTCTTACTATAAGCACGTGTTAATGTTTAGAATCTATTAGGAACCACATGAGAACGGCTCACAAGTTGTTGAAGCCTTTATTTTACAAGGGCCATTCTTATTGTGTGCGATTTATGAAACTCCGATCATCGCCCGGAAAGAATGAGATCCTGATTGGTGAAATATATTCCCCTACTTACGATTCACCAATCAGGCTGTTCTTTTCCTTGAACTAGAATTAGAGATGCATGAATAGCATGCAAAGAGAATGACACTTGAAACTGATGAGAGAAAAATGTAAATTATGTTTAAAGGTTTTAAATTGGGCAGAAGTAAGTAATAAAAATGAGAGAGTGTTCAATTGGGTAGAAACAATCAAAAAGTACGTAAACAAAATTTGATTTTATAGCTCTTACTCTTATCTAATTGATAAGATATATTTATTTTATGACATGGTTCTAAAAAGATGTATCAATTACATACTTTTCGAAAGATTTTTTTCTATTTATTTAAGTGCAAAGGACTTTGGGATTGATAGTCATTAACACTAGCACTTTATACTTACCTTATTTCACTTATAATCCGTCACTTAGGACAGATCGGTATGTCTATTATATTGGTTTTTTTTATGCTTTAAAACTTTCTTTCTTATCCTAAATAAACGTAATATTTTCTAAAACAAATGATTTTAAGTAAATAATAATTTTTCTCAAGTTAGTGTGTTGAAAGAAATATTTATCTTTAAACATTATAATAAGTTTTTAATTTTATTTCACTATAAATTTACAGTTATTGCTTCCTCGGTAATTGATAATGTTTTGATATACTACACTAATGGCTTTATTTTCTACATTTAAATATTTATTTTGTTTATAAGCATAAACTGCAGCTAGTTTCTAAGCAAGTGTCATATTTTGGTAAATAGGTTGAAGACAGGAACAAACTGAAAATGTCAAAAAAAGTAGCCTATGTTGAAGATAAGTTGGATTATGAATCTGATATTTATAGCATATATAGAAAAGATACACCAGAAGAAATTATGTCAAAGATAATGCATTTCTTGAAAGAAAAGGTGATAGTTTTTACTTTCGTTCTATTTCTGGTAATAAGTACACTATTATAGTATGAAATTTATGTAACAGCATAAAAATATAGTATGAATATGCATAAAATTATAGTATGAAATTATAGTATGAAAATGTAACAGCATAAAATTATAGTATGAAATTTTAAGGGAAGATTTTTCCCCCCTCTAACGGCAGGTACTGAACTTTCGTTCTTCACCTCGGAAGATGCCAGAAGTGTTGCTTTTTTAACATTACCCAGTAGATACTTGTGAACCTAAGTTCACGGAGGTGAGCAGCATTATCTACGCGACACTGCCACAGAAACCCGTTTATAGGATGGACCACATCCACATATTACCCAATATAGAACAACCTGCAGAGAGAAACATCCATACCCTAAGGGGGGATTCGAACCCGCAGTCAGGCACGGTAACCGCTCGGTTGGCAAGGAAAGATTATAGTATTGGTAGGTCCCTACGCTAGTACATGTCCCCAAAGTTTGGCCCGCTTCTGAGCAATAACAGATTTGAAACTAAAAAAGAAATATAACATCACAGAAGGGACCTACTTGAAGGATAAAAATCGTGGCCACATCCAGAAGAAGCCTTAGTTTTATTTTCTAATTTTTGCAAATTTAAAATCCCTCTGATGTTTTGGCAATATTATCTGACTCAAACAATACAATATCAATACAATAATATGCCCAATTTTACTATTTTTTTAACCTTCCAAATGTCATTTTACTTAAACAACTATGACTATCTTTTTATAGTTTGATAGTTCCGTTAATATTGAGTTATATGTTGGTTGTAGATTAGGTCAAAGTATCGTCTAAGTAAATGGCATTTTACCTAAATTATTATTATGCATTAATTTTTAGCATGAAGGCTCCTTGGATATTGCTGTAGATGTTGGTTGTGGATCAGGTCAAAGTACTATTGTTCTAGCACCAACTTTCAAAACAGTTTTTGGCATTGATGGTATCGAATCTCAAATAGAAGAAGCTAACAACAACCGGAAGTCCAACAATATAGTTTACAAATGTGGTAAGTTAAATTATTTACCTTATTTGACAGGAATAATTTTCGCATATGTATTTTTTTTTCATGTAAATTTTTTAATAATCTCAGTTAAATTTATTTTTTTAATTTTGATCAGATAGCATCTATAATACTGCTATGCATCTAAGATGCTGAAATATTTTATAAAATAATTTTGCTAATGGCTGAGTGTAATCTTTGTGTTAAGTATCTTGACCCAAGTTGTTTAATATGAAATTACGAATATTGGATGTTGCTTTAATAATATTTTACTGAAAGATTTAATCTTAGATACCGGCAAGCAATGTCAGCATGTGTATTGATCCTGATTGGTTGTTAAAGCGTGGCATTCATGGGTGCCACTCTTCAGTCCTGGGGACTGAAATCAGTCTTGAGAAAAATCAATGNTGTTGGTTGTAGATTAGGTCAAAGTATCGTCTAAGTAAATGGCATTTTACCTAAATTATTATTATGTATTAATTTTTAGCATGAAGGCTCCTTGGATATTGCTGTAGATGTTGGTTGTGGATCAGGTCAAAGTACTATTGTTCTAGCACCAACTTTCAAAACAGTTTTTGGCATTGATGGTATCGAATCTCAAATAGAAGAAGCTAACAACAACCGGAAGTCCAACAATATAGTTTACAAATGTGGTAAGTTAAATTATTTACCTTATTTGTCAGGAATAATTTTCGCATGTGTATTATTTTTTCATGTAAATTTTTTAATATTCTCAGTTAAATTAATTATTTTATTTTGATCAGATAGCATCAATAATACTGCTATGCATCAAAGATGCTGAAATACTTTATAAAATAATTTTGCTAATGGCTGTGTGTAAATATGACTGTGTGTAAGTATATTAATTTAAATGTATCTTTGCTCAAGTTGTTTAATATGAAATGAAGAATATTGGATGTTGCTTTAATAATATTTTACTGAAGGATTTCATCTTAGATACCAGCAAGCAACGTCAGCGTGTGTATTGATCCTGATAGGTTGTTAAAGAGTGGTATTTGTTGCCAATTGTTATTTCCATTCTATTTTGAGTTTGCCTAGCCCATCAAGCATAAATTTTCTTAAGTTCTATATACTTTCACAAGGAAAGATTTGTTTTATTTCTTACTTAACACAAAGACAAACACGAAGCCATGCAGAACATAAATACGCAAAACAAAATAGATGCCAGATGCACAAAACAAAAATAATCATGGTTACAGTAAAATACACAAACAAATAATAAATCTAGGTTAAATAAGTGACATAGACAAGACAGTTATATTTTGAAAAATTTGATATGTGATACAACATTCCATATAGCTTCGTGTTATTTAACTTTCTAACGTATGTGGAGAGACTTAGCTCAGCTTTAACGTCTCTCCACAATGTAATGGTTATAAAAATGTTCTGGTGCTTTTATTTTTATACAGTTGAGCTTTCTTCTTTAATTTAAATCAAGGGTAGCTAGGAACTTTACGCACTATTCAAAATTCAGTTCTCAAAAATACTGGGTTTTTTTCCATTGCTTTTAATATAAGTTAGTATTAGATAATGCATTGCATTTTTTAACTAGGCAACTATTCTTTTATCACAATCCATTTTCCTTATGATACGCACATTTCCTGTTTAATTGCATAGTTCACATTTTTGAATTGAACGTTAAAAAGTTATTATGTTTAGCATAATTTTGATTTTAAATACTTTTTGAAAAATATCTATAACATCTTAATCTATTTTAAATTTAAAACACTTTTTTTATGTGGTCAAAGAGGCTCTTTGCATTTAATAAATGCTTACTCTTTGAAATTATTCTATGTTAAAATTTAATTGCCTTACCAATGAATGAAAAATGTTTCTGAAAAAGATTCGTACTATCTAAATTTAAGCAGTATAAAAAAGACTATCTAATTATCTTTAAAAATTATGCTAAACATTATTACTATGCTAAACATGAAAATAGTTTGAAAAATTAATGTAAATTTAATTTTTCAAATGGCACACTATTTTGAATCTGTCCCATTTATCTATGCTTCTTACAGAACTAATTTTTGTGAACAAATTTTCATTTCTTATCATAGAATTCATATATACCCACTTTTGAATATTATGATTTCATTTACTGATAAATGTATTAAAAATATATTAAATTTAGAACTATCTGGTTTTATAACTAGATGTCTCATAAATCTGCTTTTTATGCAATTTAAAACACATAAACAACTATTATGCTTATCTCTGATTTGTTAAATGTATAATTTAGTTGATTTTTTTTCTATCAGGTTATTGTCATCATAAATTTTTTTTTCCATTTCTATATTCTATTAATATATAAGATTTGTTTTCAAAAATAGATAATTTCATAGCTTAAATATTATCTACTTTATAAAGAAAGTACAGGGTGAGCCAGTCAAACCTGCATTTTTGAAAAGGGCGGAAGAGCCGTGAAAGTGGCCGGAGCGAGTTACCAAGGTTACCATTGTGTCCCCCACAACTAAGCATCTCAGTCGCCATGGAGCAGTGGTCTAAACAACAACGCCGTTCGCTGTGAAAGCGAAAGAATGTTGTTTTTCCAAATCGGGTGATATCCCGAAGTGGAGCAATTTCTTGGTCTCCCCGATCACCCGACCTCACAGCATGCGATTTTTTTCTTGTGTGAATACCTGAAGAGTCAAGTCTTTAAACAACGATCTCCAACGCTTGGGGAACTCAAGAGGAGAATCCGAATAGAAATCAAGAGAATTCCTCAGCGCATGCTCCGTGATGTGATAGGCAGTTTCAGAAATCGTCTACAAGAATGTCTCGATCGGGAAGAACACCATCTTACCTGCGTTATTTTTAAACAGTGAATGTTGTTTCTTGAATTCTTTTTAATGTAGATTAAGTTAGTAACAAGAAAATTTTGAGATATCCATCTGTTTATTTTTTACAGTCATTTAAAAAATGCAAGTTTGACTGGCTCACCCTGCATAAACCTTAATAATAAAATTTTACTGCAATTACTAAGTTAATACTTATGTGATTTCCTATGTCTTTTCTAAATCGTAATTTAAAAAAATTTCCCGTAATAAATTTAATAGATAGTTAATGTTCAAAATCGTGTTATAAATTGAAAATTCTATTAGATATAATTTTTAAGTTCTAAATTTGTTAAACAACATTATATGACTTTTTTAAACAGGCATAAGATGTTTTAATATTTTTACTAAATTCAATCATTAAGAACAAAGGGTTTAATTTGGAATAAAAAAATCTGCGTATACAAAGGAAGAATTATCTACAAACTCATAAATATCTTAAAATTTGCTGAAAATTTTAACACCATTCTATTTCAGTATTTTTTTTATTCTAACTGGGTTATATGTCTGGTCAAAACAATGACTTAAAAAAATAAAACTTCTTTTATTGGCATGACAGCCCTTTGTGGGTCAGAACCTTCCTCCATTCTACTCTTTTCTTTGTAAATAAAATAATGCTTTAAATTCATATTTATATATGCTCTTATGGATAAATAGGTCCTGCTGAAACCTTACCTTTTGAAAATAACTCTGTTCAACTAATAACTACTGCAACAAGTCTTCACTGGTTTGATATGACTCTATTCTTCTCTGAAGCTAAGCGTATACTTTGTAATAATGGGGTGTTGGCTGTTTATGGATACTCACGTATAAAGCCATCTATGAGTACTCCAGCTCTTGACCAAAAAGTTAATCAACTTTATGACTGGGTAAATGATTCGAGTGTTATCTTTAATTGTTTTTTGCTTTTGAAAGAAACTGAAATTCAAAAAATGGAAAAATTAGAAGATATATTTTTTTTGTGTTCAGTTTTGTTCAAGTTAAAAATAAAAATTAGACTTATATGATGTATAAGTTTATTGCTAGTTTTTATTTTTCATAGCTTTGTAAAGTGGGCTGGATTAGCGCATGAGTATGAGTTATTAATCTTTATGACTTTATTAAAAAAGGGTTTAAAAAACTATACAATAATTTATTTATTTTTTTCATTTTTAATTATAATGATTGTGAGGGAATTTTTTTAATATAGCTATGGAAGAAGAAACAAGATACAAGAATTGAAGTCTNTTTGAAAATAACTCTGTTCAACTAATAACTACTGCAACAAGTCTTCACTGGTTTGATATGACTCTATTCTTCTCTGAAGCTAAGCGTATACTTTGTAATAATGGGGTGTTGGCTGTTTATGGATACTCACGTATAAAGCCATCTATGAGTACTCCAGCTCTTGACCAAAAAGTTAATCAACTTTATGACTGGGTAAATGATTCGAGTGTTATCTTTAATTATTTTTTGCTTTTGAAAGAAACTGAAATTCAAAAAATGAAACAATTAGAAGATATATTTTTTTTGTGTTCAGTTATGTTCAAGTTAAAAATAAAAATTAGACTTATATGATGTAAGTTTATTGCTAGTTTTTATTTTTCATAGCTTTGTAAGGTGGACTGGATTAGTGCATGAGTATGAATTATTATTCTTTATGACTTTATTAAAAAAGGGTTTAAAAAACTATACAAAAAAAATTTTTTCATTCATTTGCGAGGGAATTTTTTTAATATAGCTATGGGAGAAGAACCAAGATACAAGAATTGATGTCTGAAACAAGAATTCAGTTTTGGAACCTTAAAAATTGATAAAGCAATTGACTAACGTATTTTTTATAAATTACCTTAAAATATTATATAAACATTAAGTATGTAAAATATTTAATAAGTATCACATAAATTATTTGACCAATGTTTTAATTGGGATTTGAAATCATAATTTAAAATATGTTTTAAAGTTCAAGATTGTGCATAGTAATTAGCCGTATAAATAATGTAAGCTTGCAAGATTTAAAATTAAAAACTGAATAGCTAAGTTGATCATTTCAATATTAACTGAAGAAGGCAACACGTTAGAAAAACATAGTAAAAAGCATAGAAAGGTTCTCACTAGTTAAATTATTAAATTTATTTATTTATTTTTTTAAATTTACTATATTATATAGCCTTTATCTGTAGATGTATCATAAATGTACAATTGCCAATTCAACGAAATGTAAAAATAAGACAGAATTTAAGTATACTTTGCCTTACAAGAAACTATATATATAACATGAAGTTTTTGAGCGAACTAAAGATTCACATTGTTTCGTCATTACTTAACTTATCGAGATATTAAAATGTAAAATTCTAGATTTCAAATGAAAAAAATTTAAAAATAATACATGCCAATTTAAGTATACACTGCCTTACAAGAAACTATATATATACATGAATTTTTTGAGCGAACTTAAGATTCACATAGTTTATATAGTTTTGTCATTACTTAACTTATCAAGATGTTAAATTGTGAAAGATTTTAGATTTCAAGTTAAATAAATATAAACAATTAACATTCAAGTCAAACTGGAATTCAAGTTGAACAGAAACTTAAGTTAACTTTTTTTCCTCCAGTTTTTAAAGCTTTATCTTCAGTGGTGTAAGTTTAGTGCAGTCCTTTAGTGATGAGTCTGTCTATAAATTTTCTTTATTTCATTTCTTTGGTTAGTGTAAAAAAAAGTTATTTTAAGCCTGTTGCTGTTAGATTTATCTCTGAATTCTATTTTAAGACTAGAAAAAAGTTCAATATTTGTTAGAAATCTAATTTTATTTATTTTTTTCATAGTTTTATGATGTATTAGACCCATATACCAAACCACAAGTAAAGATACTTATCCACAAATATAACAAAGTAGAATTTCCATTTGAAGAAGTTGTGAGGTGATGTATTTTTTGTACTTTTTTTTGGCAAACAGGTTTTATTGATAAAACTGTTTTAATATATGCAAGAATACATTTTAAGAATTTACTCATTTCAAAAATCATTTCTACTAAAAGCTTACTTTGTAAAATTGAAATTTGTTGACATTGAAATTTGTTTTTAACTCAGTGATTTTGAATTACCAAGAATACTAGTACTACTCATAGTGGAATGGATATAATAATAAAGCAAATTAACTATTGAATTCTGATATAGACAAAAGTTATCATTCTAAGGAATAAAAAAATGATACTATCTCAACGAAGTGGAACAGTTTAAGTTTTAAAATTTATTGAAGTTTAAAACAATTTTTGTGGATAAGACACTCATCTACACTTACCTAATATTATTTGAATTGTTAAGGAATCGAATATGTTTAATAAATTTATTTTGCAGAGATAATGAAATATATTTATTGTTAGGTTATACTATATCGTTAGTACTAATCGATATATACTATATTGTTATGCTATACCGTATTGTTTGGCACTGCATGTCCTCCTTTGGACTTTGTGCCATTAAACCCTACATTCAATCAACTAAATATGTATTTATATATGTGCTTTTAATAGCAAAATCACTTATTTTAGAGTTAGTCTAACTCTGATAGCTCCATTTTTCTGTAATTTGAAGTGACTTTAAAGTTCTAGTGAATGAATCTGCTGTAACATTGATTGCTATTTCAGTAATATGTGCCATTCGAGGAGTTTATTACATTTTGATACACCAATGTTTTTTTATGAGCAATTGCAACGTCTTAGATCAATAAATTCTTTTATTTTATATTTTATTTTTAAAAAAATTGTATGCAATGTAGAATGGCATACAATTTTTGTTGATACTTATCCTTATACAAAAAGCAGGGGAATAGTTAATCTGAGTATTGTTTATTGAAAAAATTCTGAAGATAAGAATGCTGAAGCATACTGTTTTTGCAAAATCTTATACTATTTTTGCAAAATCTCAAAACAGTATGGAGTAGGTAGGTAGTAGGGTAGTCGGCAGTTCTTTTCCCCCCCAAGATGTTACATTAAATAAATCTATGTTTTGTAATCTATAGAAATATATTTTTATTTAAGGAACTTCTTTGTTTTGTGAATGAGAAATGCAGACCAAGTTCTTGGTGTTTTCATAATTACAGAACTCATTACAGAATATTTAATAACTCAATATCTTAATATTGATGTTTCACTGTAGATTCATACTTGCTTATATTATCTAACTCTATTACTCTGTTTTGTTCAAAATTGAATTCTTAAAACTAAAAATCAATTGTAGGGTTCCAGATGTACGATGTATGATTAAAGGTAGCTTGTCTGACATAGTTGGCTATGTAAAGACTTACTCCATGCTTAATATTTGCAGAGAGCAAGATCCAGGTAGAGAGGTTGATATCTTATCAGAATTTGAAAAAAGGTAAATAATTTCATAAATATTGCAGTAAAATTTAAATTAATGATTAATAATTGTAAGATAATGGTTAATTTATATTTTTTAAATCCTGCTTATTCTTGTAATGCAGTGGTTCAGAATTCAGTTTAGGCCACAAAACAAACTGCTTTACTACTCTAAAAATTTCTTGCAAGCTATAAAATAAGAAACTAATTAATAGTCTACCTCTTTTACCTGATTATTAATATTAATAGTTTATCATCAACTTCTCATTTACACGAAGCCTGACATAAAATGTCTGATATCATTCCATTAGTGAAAATTTGTTTTTTCATCTCCCATTCTTATAGTTTAAGTTCAGATATTAATTCCTTGGAAAAGAAGACTCCAAATCAAGCCAAAACCCAGTCGCGCGATTAATATATATATTTTTAATGTCAAGTGGTTATTTTTCACATGTTCTTTCAATGCAAGATTCTTAAGATTTTAGGAACAGTGGGAATTTGAAGAGACTTTTTTTCATGCTAGTGAAGTATCAATATTGCTTTTATTAGCCTCGTGTAAATAAAGCTAAGTCACACTTTTAAAAGTTTAAATTTTTTTTATTATTTGAAACTGCATCAAACTATTTTAAAAAAACTCAGTGGCCTAACGAGAATCAAGGCCTATTGTGCCATCCCAGTTTTCTTTATTTTGGTCTCTGGGTGGCAGATGATCCGGATTGGAGATCAGCCGAATGCGGAACCCTAAATGTTTTATCTCCAAGCATGGTTGATACTCATTTTATCAACCCACAAAAGGGATGAAAGGTTTAATCAATTTAGCCCAATCTGAAGACAGAACCCCAAACCTGTGCATGAAGCACTACCATTCAACCACCAGACATCTATAAAAATATTGAACGTCTGTACATTTTTGAAGAAAGGCACTTTTTAACTTTAACTCAAATATACGATATTATGGTAAATAATAATAAAGCACCATTAAGTGAGTTACTTAGGCTTAAGCAAATAAAGTAGAATCCTATGAAAATACAATTTTGATAAATCACATGAATAGCAATTGAGTAGTCTTTTGTAAAATGTTTTTAATTCTTGCATTTTCAAATGATTAGTTTAATAGACCAAAATTAACAAATACAAACAATTTTTGATAATAATTTTTCTAGATTGTATAAAATTGGAGAAGAAGATAATATTACTCCAAATGAAGTAACAAATCTGTATATAGATTATGTTTTGATTCTCTGCAGAAAAGTAGTTGCACAAACTGTACAATGATGTTTCAAATTATATACTTCTGCTTCAATCAAACACAGCAACAAAACAAACAAAATTTATTTGATGTAATTTTTAAAAAAATTCTTTTAGTTGAAATGTTATAATTTGTTGTTGATAATAATTTTGTAAATAAAGGTTAAATTTATTAGCATTATTCCTGTATGTCTATTCAGGTAAAGTGTTATGTTTGATTTTGCATCTTAACAATTTTTGCTAATAATTTTTTTATTAGTAAAATATTGGGTAACTCTTTTTAATCATAAAAATTGCATTTTTGTAAGTCTGAAAATTGTACCACTAAATCAAGTTATATTCAAAATATTTTTATTATTATTATTATCTGAGCACTTCAAAATGATTTTTAAAGGCTTTTCTTGTTCATTCAAATTAAAACTTTTTCCTCTTCAGTAGTAATATGTATATTTTATTTGTATGCATTTTAGCTATGCGAAACAAAATGTTTAAATGATACTTGTGATTATGGATGTGACTATTATAGTGATGGGACTATTATTACAGTGATAAAAAAAACATCTAAAAAAATTACAAAATTAAAGCCAGTAAAAATATAACCAATACAAGTTTTTTTTTTATTAGATACTGTTTTATTTTTTATAAACTAATTTAATTTCAAATATTTATATAATATTTACTTATTCCTTTTTAACTTTAAATATTTATTTATATTGTAAGCGAAGCATCAATCAAAACAGTATGAAATTTGAATTATAAAAAATAATACATTTTAAATATAATATACATATAAATTGCTATAGTGAAACAATTTATTTGAAGCAGGTTTGTGTCTAATATTGTTGTATGACTTTTTTTAACAGTTTCGCTTAATAAGAATTTCACTTGTTTAATTGAAATGTTATATGGATTTTTTTTATTTTCCTACAACATTTGTGTTGCTTCTTTTCAATTTTTGTTTTACCTTAATGTTCTATACTAAATAACCTTTATTTAAAAAATGTTATAATAATAGTGAATTTTTTTAATTTTCATTCCATTCAAATACTATAGTTTGATTTAATTGGAAAATTTTCTATTAAAGAATGTATTTCAATATTCATTACTTTTGTTTTTGATTTCACCAAAGCATAGGATTTGTTTTATTCATATTCAACCTTCCTTGTTGAAATAGAACTTCATCAAACTATTGTTTTTACTTTGAATAATTTCTATGATTATAAAAAAAAGACAAAAGTTTTTAATGGCATTTTATTTTGAAATCTTTCATGCATGATGCAAATTTTTCATTGTAAAAAGAAAACATTATAGTAAAAGAAATATATAAGTTGAAATAATATTAATAATACAAAATTCTTAGCACGTTTTTTTTTTAACTGAAAGTTAAACATGAATAAAATTTCAACAAAACAGAAGAAGCTCATTTCAAGAAACAAATAATGTATCTGACAAAGTTATTAAGTATTTGTAAAATATCTTTCATTATAAACACATTGTTTTTGCAACCAAAATTAAAAATGTGAAATTTCATTTTCAGAAAGACATGCAATTCAATTAAAAATAAATATACATAGTAATGAAAATAATATATCAATGTCATTACAATAATAATATTAAATTGGAAGTAATAGATTAAATGGTTAAAAAAAATATGTGTGTAATTAATTCAATTTATAGCCACTTTCCTCATACCATATATTTCATAACACTAAATGCTGAGAACATCAATAACAACAAGTAATAATTTTAAACTGCCAAGTCTGATGGAAAGAGACTTTTAATTTATATATAAATATGCTTATTTCAGTTACCAGATCAAATATTAAAAAACAGAATAATTTCTACAGTTTTAAAAACTCTCATATATATTATCAAAGTAGGACACTAAAAGAAGTAATAAAATTATTTCATGACTAAATAAATAAATCATATTATTTTATGAGTTTGCAAAAATTAACCTAATCCTGAATATTTTAATGTGTTTTTTAACCTCTTTTAAAGCTTTCAAATTATATCGTTGCATGCAACTTTTTTATCTATTACTTTTTTAGTGTCAATAAGGCATTTCAGTGGAATTCTTACATAAGATTGAGCAATGGCAAATTAAATAAACCTCTTAAGCTGATTCTAATTTCATAATGACAATTATGAGACACACTTTTTCCTTGTAGATAATACTGCTATGTTACAAAATAAAAATAGGTGCAGTATATCCACCAAAATATTTTAAATTTTCAGTCCTTATGAATAGTGCAAAAACAATGGATTAAAAAATTTGTTTTATAGATTCATTAAACTATTAATACATTTAAACCTTTACTTATTAAACAGAACGAATAGGGAGGTATAACATTTACAAGAGCTCACTAAAGAACTCTTAAAGTATAGTAGAATATAGTTATTATTTAAATCAGTGAACTTCTTTTCACGCTTGCAAATAATAATTGCATAGATGAAAATTGATATGTAAAATATTCAATAAAATCACTTTATAACTAAAACTGAATCTTTTGAAACAGCAAAGAAATTTCAAGCTGATAAGTCACAATATAGTTAAATTAATATAACAGTAAATTGATATCAACAGATTAAATAATTTTGCATTCAACCAATACATTAATCACTGGTTAAATATTAAGTTTATTAAAAATAAAATACTATTCAGATTTTTTTATCAATATATGTTTCATTTGCAAATAATTAGAAAATAAGTAGAACAGTTTCATCGATCATTTAGTAAAAGCATTATTCTTATTAATTTTGCTTTCTTTGGGTATAATGTTTTAAAAAAAACATTCACAAAACATGCTTTTACAGCAATAAGTTTAATCTCTTAGTTGAAATTTACTTGTATTTATTTTAAATTAGTATTACCACAGTAAGAGTTGCATATGTGTGCAAGAAGTTAAAAATAAACTCCTAGAGCAATATTTCTTTACTTATTCAATAATGATGTTAAAAGAAAACTATCAATAAATACATTGCAGACATCAGTTTAAACATGTTTTTTTCTTTTTCTCAAAATAGGAAATATACTGTTTGCTATGACTACATAAATGCATATATTCCTAGTGTTGGACTTCTTAAATTTCTACAACTGCTTAGAAAAAGAATTCATAACAGAAATGCAAAGACTCTTTATACATTTATATGTTTTTTACTCAATATTAGCTAAAATCTAACTGTACATATTTATAATAGGCAGCATTTAAATGAAATTTATAGGGAAAAAACTAAAGTGGATCGATTATAAATATTTTTAGAGAAAGCTCATATATTAAATGATCTGACATTAAATAAATAGTTCTTTAAGAAGCATGAAAAATTGCATTGTATAACTTGCATAAATTGATCACTGTTCTTTTAGATTAACTATATTTTTAATTTAAATGCAGTAAGTGAAATGTTTCAATAGAAGAGGAATTTCCAACCTATTTCAACAAAAGCTGACATTGCTTTTTAAATATTCATTAGTACATAAAATAAAAATTGAGTTGCCACAATGAGAAAAACAGCAGATAGACAAATAGTTAAATAGAAATAATATTATTAAAACAAAATACTGTGTATTTTAAGGTGTTATTCTTAATAGGATTGCAATTTAAATAAGGTGAAAGAAACTTGGCAGCATAGCATTGGTCTGTAACAGGCTCTAGTGCCGAAGAGGGTGAAGAAATTAAATCGATATATTCTTGTTTAATTGCATTTTTAAAACAAAAATTTGTTCTTAATTTACAATTTTAAAAAATAAAATAATAATTTAATTTTTAACGCATATGTTGACACAACAATTAAGCATGGATTAATTTGATAAGGTCATATTTTATCAAGAATAAAAGATAATGAAATGATATGGATTAAAGGTGTTTTCAGTTGGTGCAATGAAACTACCATGAAGTCTTTGTAATTTCTAAAAACATTTTATGCATAACAACTAGATTAATGCAAGGTGTTTAGACTTATTTATAAATGCCTTTTACCATTATTATAGGAGTTCTGTTTGTCTAAGATAGGTAATCTGCCAGTAACTATGGTAACGAGGTATGATAATTTCAGGTAGGGGTGGGGGATCCCTCTTTAGGACTGGTTTAGGCGAGAGAAGCGACCTCTTTCATCGAAGCTACCCTCCCTAAAATGCCCTCTTCTTGTTTCCATAGCACCAGACTGCCGCAGACTTAGTGGCGGTCAGAGTACCTATCTTAGACAAACAGTACCTTAGTATTTTGTAAACATCAGATTGAATCAAAACCTTATTTCAGTGACAAAATTTCATAACTTTTAAACTTTAAAAAAAAAGTGAATTAATATTTTTAAAAAAAAACATAAGTAAAATTGGCATTGAACATTTTAAGGCGTAAATAAAATCACAGATATATAAAATAAAAAATTCCATTTTAAAATAAAATACTTTTTTTGTAGTTAATATCTTATACATAAACTGTAACTGTCCATATATATTATTACATATTTGATGCTTTTAGACTCTCATCATTCCCATAATAACATCCATACCCCCTTTTGCCAAGATGAGACGTTGCCACAATTTTTAGTTCAAGGAACCCCTTGACATATAGAACCCCTATTTGTGTGCATTTCTTTGCAACACACTTTTAGAATGAATTAAAAGGAACTTTCTGGTTATTTATCAATTTCTACTATCAAACTATAACATAAAAACATGCTTGTGTATCTTATATATATTTATGAGTATTATTCATGTAATCTAGTTTTTAAAACTATTTTTCAAATTTTTCTCCTTCGTATATATGGGTAATATAAATCTATAAAAACAAGTTTTATTGACTTATGCTTCAATGTTTCAATAAAACTAATGCAAAATTAATTTGTACGCTTGATACAAATCGCTGGGATTTTCAAACAAAAAATTTTGAAGATTTAGAGGCATTTTAGTTTTTTATTCAGACTTATTGCGCTACTGAGAAGTTTAAATTTTCATGAATTTTCAAGAGAATTTTTTATAGAACTTAGTTTGAAAATTAGTGATCTCGACAATATCTTAAGAATTAAACAAAAATTTTATTCATTGCCATTCAATTTGTTTTAAACACAATACTTATATTTTATTATGATAAATATATACATAATTTAGATGGAAAGGGTTTGCTGAATAAAATTTTAAACGTTAAAATATACACAATCTTATATGTGAAATGATATTTTATATTACCACACATTTGATCAATTAAACGATAGGTTTTCAAGCTATTTTTGATCACCCACTTTGCAAGACAAAAATTTTCAATATCTAAAATACTTCTAACTGTTCCATAATTTATTGAAAATATACCTAATGTCCAATGCATTCATCTTTATAAATTTTATTTAGATACTTAAGTAGCCCATATTTAATATTTGTATTAATGAATTTATCACTTTCACTAAAGCTTTATATAGTATAAATGAATGCTTACAAAGAATTTTTTTCTTAAAATAGAATCCAATTTTCCTGTCCAAAAGTCCTGTAAAAGATTTAAATATTAATAAAGTATTCATAAAAATTTTTAAAATATATTTTGGAAAAACTTAATGGATATTTTTTAAATATAAATGGAGATCTTTATCCCAATGGCAATATTACCTGCAGTTTAAACACTTTTCAAATAGTTCCACTCTAGTATTAATGAGTGATGATTGACTTGGGAAAAAAATGATATTGCTGTCAAAAAATAAATTCTACATTCAATATCCTCCCCAAAAGTAGTAATATATATGAACAATCGCAACACACAAAAAAAATAATAATTTGTAAATTAATACTAAAATTTCTAGAAAGAAAGAAACAGGATATTTATAAACAAAATGTTTGTTTTAAGTAATTTTACTTGTTCATAACTTCTCACAGTATAGATCTTAATACCAACATACAATCATCAAATAAGTCTAAAATTAAACAATAACAAAAATAACTTTTTCAAAGGGACTAATCATACAGTAGGCATAAATTACATCATTTAGTTCAACTAATTAAATATCCAAGATTTGTTCTAAATAAAATTATGTTTATGACTAGAACCACTATCTATGTTTTCTACATACTCTCTGTTTCGATAAGCAAGCCAAAATTTCAACATAGACATAAAATTCGCTGAATTGCCAATCATTGAGGTTATATAGAATTCCTCAGTGCATGCTAAATTTGATAACTACATTTACAACATGGTGAGCAATAATGTTGACCTGAGAACAAAAACATTATGGCATGTTACACAAAAAGCATTCATCACCATCATTTACAAAAAATAAAAAACTAAGTTATTAAAATAAATATATCACAGACGGTAGATTTGAGTTGCATTCAAATTTATCATTTTGGAACGAGGCCACGAGGAACGGGATACTGCTCCACATCAACTTTAGTTTTCATTTGACGACCACAATTTGAGGATGCTCTGATTCTGAAAGAAAAGAAAACAATAACATTGTAGGTCAATCCAATTGTAAATCAGTTTACAGTAGAAAAATGATTATATCATAGCCATAGGACAGTGACTGTTTAAAAATGTTGTGTTAGTTTTAAAATAATACGTTTAAAATCAGATAGATTCTGAAATATTTGCAATAAAGAAGATAACTATGACTGAAAACATTAACACAATTTAAAATATCAAAATTATGAAAGTTCTTTCAAAGTTGATAAAACTTAGAATTTGATCAACTTAAAAGATTAAATCCTCTTAGTTTTAATAACCTAATAATCATTTTCTCATTGTAATTATTTCAATTAGTAACTTTTAAATATTAAATTTAGATACTTTTTTAAAAAATAATGAACACCGTTTTATGTTGAAATAACAAAATATGCTCTTACCCAAATCTACCATACTTTTGGACTGGTTCAGAACTTTTATCAGAATTGTGCCTAAAATGTTGTCTGAAAAAATTACAACATTTAAAAAAATAGCAATTTTTGAAAACAATTTACAAAATAATACAACAATCACAATAAAAATTATACACTAGTTGAATGATTAATAAACCAAAATCATTTAAAGGATGTAGGATTATCCTTGTGATAGAAACAAAGGATATTTAGCAACAGTTACTGAGACATCACATAGAGATATAAGACACTTGGGCATTGCCTCATGTGGTCAACAGGCTCAGATATTCAAAAATTTGAAATATCATTAAGTAAGACAACGATCAAACTTCCTAAGATGATCCAAACTCACTAATTCTTAAGTTAAACCCATCTTTGACTAAGGTTCATAATTGCTACTCCTGAAAGTGTTCTTTCCAAACTTGACATGACACAAAATTGTGCATTTTGTTTAATTACTCGAGCAGCAAAATCGACTTGTGTGCACCAAATTGAAAGATACTGACTGACACTGGAGATACTTCTTCTGGTTATTCACATTTTTATTGGACAGCAAGATAACTCACAGCCCATTGGCAAAGGCAAGGAAGTAGGGTATAAATGCTTGTTAAAGTATAGAGTAGTTAGAAAATAATGCTCATTAGAGTACCATAATGTACATTCTTTTTTCATATTTGCACTTCATACGTTACAATAATACTAAACCATATGTAGTTTAGGGCAGCTGTCTCTATAACAAATCGAAAATTGAAATTTACCTTTTGATAAAATAATGCTTTAAATTTAGTATCAATATCTGCAGTAAATAGTTGAGCATAAATTTAATGCTGTATAAATTATAATATGTAATGTTATTGTAGAAAAAAAATTTCAAAACTATTTTTTTAGCAGTATCTAAGTCAATCGAAATAATTACTAACCTATGAGATGAGAACTACCTAACCATCTCGGGAAATAAAAATAAACTATTGATGCTTTATTACTATTATTTTAAACTTCAATATTTTTTTTAACTTGTTTTATAATATTAGAGTTACTCGTTTTATATAATAGACTCTTAATATTTTATCCCCAATAATATGCATTTATATAATAAATATTTATTGAGTAATTTTAATTCAAGAATAGGTCTTCGGATCATAAGGTTATTTTGATTATAGATTTTGGGCTGTGAATGAAAATGATTAAAAATTCATAACAATTTACACAACTTTTTTTTGAAAGAAAGAGAGAGAATGAAATGAATATAAAAAAATGAGAGATATTTAAAACATGAATTTTTTTTTATTACACCTGCTCCGAAACTTGGAAGAACTATATGTGAATTTCAACATGATCTTACTTTAGTTTTGTTATTAATTTTCAGAATTGGTACTTTCAACTATTTTAAGAATAATTTTTGAGTTCATAAGTAATTTTTACAACTAAATATTATTTGAGTTAATTGAAATTCTAGGTTTCACGATTGAATACTAGTTTTAAAGATTTTATCTATAGTTAGCTATTATTTATCATTATTAATAGTTAATAGCAGCTGAAAATGTGACATAATTCCTCTTGTCAATGAGATGACCAAAATTAAATTATTTGAAACACTGGCAAACAAACAAAAAAGACATATAAAAGATGCTAAAATCTAAAATTTTGTTTCATTTAAAAAATATCTAATTCTAATGGAAATCACCAAAATTGTATCCCATACTTATGTACTGAAATGTTTTGTAAACAACTGAGTTTACTTGGAAACCAGAAGCAATTTACAAATGCACCCATTATATCAATCGATAAAAGTGTAAAAATAAAACAAACTTTTTTCAAAATCATACAAAAATTTTACATATTAAATATTGTTTTTAATAGATATGATTTAAAATCAATATGTAGCAAATTAGTTATTACATTTTTTAAAAATAAATTTTATATTTTAATTAATAATTGTAACAAAAATGATAAAAAAAATCTTTTGTTTAGATAAAAATTGCATTGCATTATTTAAGAAAAAAATTTCAGCTCCTGTGAAATTGGGTATATGCTTAAGCCACTGATTAGTAGTACGAAAGAAACATTAATTTAATATTGTGTATAATACATGAATAGAATAGCTTTACTGAATAAAACTTCTTCAAAAAATTATAAACAAAAATTAATTTTGAATACATACACATTTATTGTTTGGTCCGCCAATAACTTTCTAATAGCTTCTCTTGCATATGGATCTATTTCTGGTTCATAATGGTCAATTGTTCTACTACGTGGAACAGCGAAATCCACAACAACAATGTTTTCACTCTAAATAATAAATGTATTTATTATATTAAAATAATGTACATATTCAAATAATAATTTACACTAAAAAAAGGATTCAAATAATTTACAATAATATTTTCTTTTAACTAAATACTTAAAATATGAGAGAAAGGTAAAGTATTAACTATAATTTTTCTTCTCTAAAATAAAAATGATACCAGAAACATACATATATAGAACAGTCTGAAGTAATTTTTTGAACATTAACTTACTATAACAATATTACAGATAAATATGAATAATAAACAAAAATAATACGAAATTAAAATAACTATTTATTATAACTTGAATTTATTTTGAACTGGAATGCTAGAGTGGAAAGAGTCAATCAAAAAGAGCGTATTACAAATTGTAAGGAAAGCCTCTTACATACAAGTTTCTTAATACTCGGCAATTCAAAATGCATTTGATTGATTCCAATTATTTTAATAAAAAAAAATTCATAGAGTATATAAAGATAATTTGCATGTTTGACTATTTAAACATCTACCATCATTTCTGCACTATGTTACATGTAATGAAAAAAAAAATTACTCTATATCGAGGTCTTGCTGACAATCTTGTCATCTTTATTGCATGACTAGTCATTGGTCGGCGAAACTCATTTGCTGATGATGGTCGCTCAGCAGGATTAAAATGAGAGTAAGACCTGAAATAAAATAAAATCTTAGTCTTAATTGACACACTTCATTTTAACTAATCGAAGTTAATTTCGTTTACAACATATTACATTTCAGTAGGAAATATAACCCAAGCATCATCATCTTCATCATATTGCACATGTTCCAAAAACTTAGTTTTATCTTCAGGATTTACAAAATTGTCGATCACCAGATTTCTAAAAGAAAGAAGTCTCATAGTTACATTCTAATTTTCACACTGCTACAAATAATTTGAAAGTAATTTTTAAACACATCATTCATGTCAAAAGTAGCATTTTTTTCCTAATCAACTATAGCTTGGATCTATTTGACTGGTTTAAGTACAAACGAAATAAAGTGCAGTTTAATATATACTGTATATCCTCATGTATAAGTTGACCCCCTATTTTCGTTATAAAATGGCAAATTTCTGGTATGTTGGAAGTATAAGTCGACCGCTGAAACAAACAAGTATGGATATTTCTAAATTTTATTGACTTAATAACTTTTTCTATGTTTTCAACATAAAAAAAGTTATTAAGTCTATAAAATTTTCTCCAGTTAGAAATGTTTCACCTTGTCCTCTCTTGATATAATTTTCCTCAAATAAATATGCATAAACAAATGCTGTGATGTTCTTAAAGATGATGAGAGAAAATGTAAAATAAAGGGAAAAACATATTAAAAAAAGTTTTTAAATAGGAAAAATGGGTAGATTTATTCATATCTATCTCATTGTTTATGAGGCATCAATATTTCACAATCAATGAACCTTCGATTTTATTACCGGTGTGTATGAGTGGACCCTTGATTTTCGTAAAATTTTTGAAATTTGTAAAGTCTACTTATATTTCAATGCATCTATAGAAAACATTTTTTCAAAGAGAGTTAAAAATGATATTTTAAGTAATCAAACATGATTAACTGCATAACCTTTTTTTCACAATTTTTGAAAACTGGAAAAAAAAAATAGATCAATTCTTTGTGTGCTGAAAAAACAGCATTTTTATTGCAACATTTAAAAATAACAATAACAACTGTAATTTAAAAATTATAATAATAATTAGATTTAAATATTATAGAGGAAAAAATCAATATATCTGTAAAAATCTAACAAAGTTTATTCATATTATTTGACGAATATGTCTGTGGGGGGTGGAGTTATCGACCATGCCAACCGTCATCTATCAAAAGGTACCTCTTGATAGAATCAAGTTAGCATGCTTTATATACTAGGGAATGATGTTAAACTTTTGTAGTGGTAGTTACGCCACAGTACTCCCCTACCAGAATTTTATCAGAGATATAATTCGATGAACAGATCTCACTAGTTGCGGTACTTTGTGAAAGACCGGGAGAGAGAGTCACCGGAGTTTTGAGTGCTGAATGAATGTGAGAGGTGTATTAACATCACAGCAGTGGTTGCTCCTGTGTTGCCTTTAGCAGTCGAGTGTGTGCTGGCCGACGTTGTGTGTATGTTTGAGACGAGACTGAGCAGCAACAGCGCAGGAGGGTGAATGATGCTTTCACAAATAGCAAGTCAACCGTACAATGTGGACTATCCATCAAAGTAGGCGTAACCGTTGAGAGATTGCGAAGTGGGCGTTACTTGCGTGATCAAATCACGTCCGAAGGTCACCAATGTGGGGGCGGAGTTTTCCACCATACCAACCGTCATCTATCAAAAGGTACCTCTAGATAGAATCAAGTTAGCATGCTTTATATACTAGGGAATGATGTTACACTTTTGTAGTGGTAGTTACGCCACATACTTTTGTAGTGGTAGTTACGCCACATGTCCAACACATTAAGTGCAGTTCTGATTAATTACTATCAAAAACTATAATATGTCTGCATTAACCCCTTAAAGGTGAAATTTTGAAGAAAACAAAGTGTCTTTTTTTAGTTCAAAAAAATCATATAAAACTAAGTATAAGTACAATATATGTATTCATTTTTAATAAAATTTTTAGCTTGCATATTTGATGAGTGTCGACATCTACTTTAAAATAAACTATCTCTAAACATATTACAAATAGTCTGGTACTATAATCTGGTGTATAAATTGAAAAATAAGCATGATTCCAGTCATTGTTTAAATTTTATTTTTCATTACTTTTTAACACTCCAACCTGGCAATATTATGGGCATGAGAAATAGAGGATAAAACTTCATCCCATTATTATGACGGGAGAATTAAGAAAGGAAGGGGTTAACAGAGCAATATTAAGGCTAAAATATAATATTCTATATAATCTACATAAAATCAATTTACAGTCAATGCTATCAAATGTCAACAGCTCATAACAATTAAAGAATATATATTCTCAGTCATCAGCTATTCACTTATTACAAAAACTAATTATTCTTATAAACACTTTACCTTTACAAATATTTCTAAAATTAAGTTATAAAAAAAATATTTGCATTTGAAAAAAACATTGATATCTTAATGTTCCTGGTAATGAAAATAAGTTATTTAATGATTAAAAACATAAGTTAAATTTCTATTTTGAATTCCAAAATAGGAAATTGAATTAAAACTACAGATAAAGCAAAGTCAAAAATGGAACTATGCAAAATCGTCAATTCAGTACTAAACACAATAAAAAACTATTTTCTACCATGAATAATAACAAAAGTATTTGTCATTTTATTTAAAATCATACCCTGAATATCAAATTATAATAGAATTATCACAGGCTTAGTAAGATGAATCTGAATTATTTTATATATTAAAGATTTTAATGTAATAATATCTTTCTGCATAAAACTTATTTTAAAATATGTTTTCAATATATATTTAAAACCCTTTGAGGAACAATAGTATTTTTACATTATTATTATATTTTGAGTAATCATAAACAAAGAACAGTTTAAAAAAAACTTACGATAGTTTTAAATCACGTGTCAGTGTTTCAATCGTTTGTTCCTTTTCCTGCCTTTCAAAAGAATTTATTTCTTGTTCATCATTAATATCTTCTTTCAAAGCTTGGAGTCGTTGGAAAAGCTAGTATCAAAAAACAAATGTAAAATAGCATTAAAATTACTGTAAAATCATTTCTTGATAATTATTTAAAGAGATTAAAATTAATGATATTAACCTTCTTTAACTTTTTAGTTTTTACTTCAACTTCTTGTTGCAATGAATCGTAAGTTTCTTTCTTCTCTAAAGTACATTCTTCTTCTTCCACTAATTTCTTTTGCATTTCTCTCTCAATGCGCTGAAATTATAATTAACAATGAATATAAACTGAGTAGCAATTATTGCATAAAAACATCACAAATTAAGTTCAAATTATCGTTTGCAGAGTAGCTATAATTAGACACTGGATATAGAATCTGTTCTTTTTTATAGAATCTGTTCTTTTCTACACCTGTTCTTTTTTAGTTACAATCTAAGATTATCATCAATAGATTTTTCAATAAAGCATGAAAAACAGAAGTGATTTAGTTTAGGGATGCAATAGTGATTTTGGCCGAATACGAAGCATTCAGCAACAAAAAGAAAACGACTAAAATCAGAATATTTGGTGGCCGAGAAGCAAAAAAAAAATTTACAAAAAAACATAAATAAATACTATTTTTTTGCATATAAATTAGTTGTCATTAAAAAATAATCAAAACTTAGCTGTAATATTGGTATGGGACAAAGGGAAAAAAGTCTTTAATATAGATGTTTAAGATAATAAAGATAATTCGATTTTAAAATGATTAGAAATATTTTAGATAAATAATAAAACTGACTAACAGGTGTTAAAAAAAATAAAGTTGACAAAAGCGAAATAGAAAAAAAAATCCTCTTAATTCTTAAAACAAAACTTTAATGCTAAAAATAATTTTCTGTGAAAAAATTATCGATAAAATGATGAAAAAGATAAGGTCCATCAGAAACGCTTTTAAAAATGCAGCGATATCATAAAAACAGTCATTAAATAATAGATTATCTACGTAAGCAAAACAGAAGAGATAAAAATCGATCTTAATCTTTGAAAGAAAATTTTAAAGTTAAACATCTCAATTTTCCAATTACTGTATTTTCAAGAAAAAGTGGAGATGAAAGTCTAATAGAAACCCTTTTAATTGCCCCGTCATAATAAAAACATCTATAAAAGCATAAGTTTTTTTAAAAAGAAAAAGCTAGTTAGAAAACAAAACAAAAATTGTGCTTAATTTTGAAACGAAAGATTTAACGCTGAAAATCTCTCAATTTAACTTTTTCTAATTGTTGTATTTTTAGAAAAAAAAGTGACCACACAAGAATAACGTTCATTAGAAACGCTTTTTAAAAATGCTGATAAAAAGAAAAGTTAATAAGAAAAGTAAAAGAGAAACAGAAAAAAATTTGTTCTTAGTTCTGGAATATAACATAGTGAAAGAAAGTTTTCAATGTATCCAGTTATCTAAAAAAGTGACAATGAAAGAATAAAGTCTATTAGAAATGCTCTGTTAAAATGCTTCTCTATAGTTAAAACAGAAAAACATGCAAAAGTGAAACAAATAAAGAAATACAAAAAGTGCTCTTAACAAAAAAGTGCTGTGAAACAAATAAAGAAATACAAAAAGTGCTGTTGAAAAAACAACAAAATTGACTTGCCTGAATACAATTTAAAAAAAAAAAAGCATTACAAAACTCATGGTTCAATATAAAGTAATCTAGTTTCAATTCTTTAAATTTCATTTTTCTATTTGTTGTTCAGAACATAAATTAACAAGGTTTAGAACTTATAAAATGTGTGTAAAAACTATTTCTAATAATGTATAATAAAAAAATATAGTTTTAGATTATTCTTTATTTTATATTATTCTTTATAGATTATTCTTCTCGATTATAGATTATTTTTCTCGATTATAGATTATTCTATTCAAATTTCATCCCCCAAAAAAACTTAATTGAAAAATACTTTTCCAAATAATACTATGCTGAATATTCTGCCTAACATTTGGCCAACTGAATATTCGGAAGAAAGGGCCAAACATTCGTTGCATCCCTAATTTAATTCATAAGCAATTCTATTAGAAATGATAAACAAAATTTAATGGAATAAAAATATTGTTAGGCTGCTAGAGTTGCATTACTAACAATAATTGTTCTTTTTTGTGTATCATAATGTATTTGTGTGATTGGCTGTATATCCCGAAAATATTTGTAGCAAAAAAGTTAGTACATCCAATAAATTTAAATTGGATACTTGCACTATATTTTAATCATTTCTATATTTGATGGTTTAAGGTTTTATAGCACTCTAACATTTAAAAATATATATAGATAATTTGTATCCCAGATGAGAGAAAACAGTGATATTATTTATTATGCATGCAAAAACAAATTAAAGATGAGAGAAGAATAAAACAAGCAAAAAATTAGACAAGGTCACTAGGGGACCTCAAAGGCTGGGAGCTCATACTATTTACTTGAAGAAGATAAAACTCCGACGACACTTTTACAGTTTATTTGAATAGTATTTACATCAAAACTTGAAAATTTACAAAAGAAATATTTTTTATTCGCCATTGATTTTTTTACACCATTAAAATATAAGATAGCTTTTATAAACTGTATTATTTACCAGTTAGTATTCTTGATGAAGAACAGATTTTACAAATTTTAAAATTGGATTTTACCAATTTTTAATCAAAACCAAATATATTAGAATACTTTTAAAGATTTCAAAAAACTTTGTGAAGAGATTTTTGTATAACATTTATATTTTATTCATATTCGTTGTTTTCTTTTATTCATATTCTTTTATTAAGAGACTGCAGTATGAAATAAATACTTTATTCAAGCCTGATAGTAAAAAGCTCTGGTCCAGACAAATTGAATATTATAAAATTGATGAAACTTAAAAGAGCATTAACAAAGAGTGTAGACACAAAAAATTAAAAAAAAAATTTCTTAGTCTACTTAGCTTGAAACAATAATATTTTTTGACCATTATAAGCTTTGTAGCAATGTAAACTTTCTATAAATATTCTAATGCAAACAATGTAAATAATCAAATGTGAACAATTTGACAGAATATTATGTAAACAATAATTATAAATCAAGACCTTTTGATCAGCTAACTCTTGCCGTCGCTTTTCCAAAATTCGCTGTTGTTCATTTGTATGATCTATTATGTTTTTTCCTCCACACAAAAGTTTAGCTTCAAGTTCCTAAAAAGAAATTACATTTTTGCCATTATAATTTTTAAAACATACTTTATATATAAGTAACGCATTGAAAATAAAAAGAAATTTAACTTTAAAAAATGAAAAAAAGAAAAGAAATACATTGCACTTTAACATGATGTATGCATCTAATCTACAAAATAAAAATATTAGAAATTATAAGATACCGTAAATAGTAACAAACCATTTACTAAATGAAGAGCTTAATGGAAGAAGATTCTGAGTGTTATTTTTAAAAAAAAGGAAACTAAAATTCCATGGGGATAGATTTTATTTTAATGCTATCTAATTATAATATATGAATTTAAAGTCTTTAAGCTTTAGAAATATCACTATATAAAGGCACTTAACAATAGCCTTTAAGCGAAGGAAAGTTCCAAGTTCTTTTTGGTAACAATTAACAATAAGAAGTAAAAAGTATCTCTTTTGGCAGCAAATTAAATACCAAGAATGTAAATGCTGTGACATGGAGATTTAAATTAGGCATTGGAGATTTATAAATTTTGGCAATTGGAATGTAAGGCAGATTATTTATTCTTAATTATCAAGGTGTAAACTGTTATCTTACTTAAATTCAACAAAATATTATAATTTATCCTCATACACATAGCTTTTCAAATATGAAAATGCACATTCAAAAAATAAACTAATAATAGTTCATAATATTCAGTGATTAGTAAAGTTTCTAATCAAGCTACAATTGATCTTCAAAAAATTAACTGCAAGTAAAATTTAATGACAATTCTTATTTCAATTTAATATAAAATTGGGACGAAATTCAGCCCAGAGTTTCTACACAATTATATTGATTAATGAAATAGATCAGTTGAAACACATAAATTAAACTTTAAACTGAAAACCTTCCAATCATGAGAATTAAAAAACTTTTAAAGAATTAAAATTATAAGAATTTAAAAACTTATACTTTTACCTGCAACTGGGAATTTATTTTCTCTTTTGCTTCATTTTCAAGTCTCAATTCTTCATCTTTAGCTTTAATATCCCTCATTATCTTTTCTTTTTCCTAATATAAATATAATTATTTAAAATTTCATATGTCATAAAAATATCTATTTTCCTATCAAGATATTAACTTACCTCAGACATTAGATTTTGTTCATTTAAATATGCTACTCGCTCTTCAGATAGAAGATTTTCCATTTTCTTCACAATTTCAATGCTAGCATCATTAATTTCTTCATCAACATTTTCTTCGGTTATCTTGGGAGATTCTTTCTTTTTCTTCCGCTTTGCTTCCTTAAGAGCTAATTGAGCCTTCAGGCTGAATGAAGATGTAAAAATTTGTAAATTATTCTTATAAAAAAGGAGAAAAATAATGATTTTAGTTCTTTACAATGATTATAGAAAAAAAAATCTGAGCAACCAATAAATATATTTTTAGAGTTTATTGAATGCCAATTTAAAAAGCATTAAACATTTCTTTACTCAAATATTTTAATAAAAATTTTTTTTTAAAAATTAACAACAGTACATACGTATTTATTTCTTGCTGATATTGTAATAGTATGGCATCCTTAGGATCAACATTCACCACTGGTTTGTTCTTAATATTCTTGGCTCGATTTGCATATCTGAGGAAAGAGATTGAAAAGAGTCAGACATTTTTAAAACACTATACATATAAAATATAAAAATTATTGATCTAGTATATTACAAATTAATTTCTAACATTAAAAATAAAAAAATGAACCAACGCATAAGCTCTAAAAAACACATTTTAATTATAATAATAATAAAGTAATTAATATTACAGTAATACCTCTATGGTCTGAACCTCATCCCTCACAATGTGAACTATACTTACATTCAAGCAAAATCTCCCCAATTTAAAAGGTACTCAATTTTAAATTATAATACATAATAAAATATTTTTAAAGAAACCACAGTATGACTAATGCTGCAAGTATTTCTCAATTAGAAATTCTGAAGTTGCTATTTTGGTCTTGGCAGTAATAAATAATTTTGTTTTACAACTCTAAAGACTGTATTTTTCTAAGAGAACATGATAAACCTCAATTATCTAAAAATTTCAATTTTAAGAATTCTGGGCCCTATTTACTTTGAATAACTGTTAATTCTTCTCAATTTGGAAGTTTATTAATATTTTTGCTTTAGTTACTTAAATTCCACATTATAAAATCTTTGACAGCTAAAATATCTTATGTTGAGACTTAAACGAATAAAACACCAAAATTTCTTAAGAATACTTTCAAATTCAGATTGTATTATTAATGAAATTTGTAATGGTATAATTAAAAAAAATTAATTGCCTTATTTCAATCTCTAACGATTAATGAAAGTTTAAAAAAAATCTGACAAAAAAATTTACAAATTTGTTATGATGTCTTTAAGTTAAAATATTTCATAATATTCTAAAAATGAAAAACTCCCAAATGCTTTTTAAAACTTATTTCACACTTTAAAAACTTTCATTTAACTTTGAGAAAAAATATGAAATACTGTTGTATGTGAGATCATACTCTGACTAACTCAATATAAAAAAAAATTGATAACTTCATTTAATAGAATATTCTAAAATATTTCTCACAAGTTACATATATTCTAAAAGGAAAGAGAAAAAATTTCTAATCTCTAAATAATTTAATGTCTCAATCAAATTTCAAATTTATTTATTGACTAAATTTTAAAAAAAAAACTACACCTCTTTGCTTTTTTATTAAATTCAAATTCAAATTAAGCATTAAAATTATATTATGAAATAACACATTTAAATTAAGAAGTGGGAATAAATTGGAAAAAAAAATTAAAACAGCATGGCTTTAAAATTATATTTTCTTGACATGTTTGATTACCTTAAGGTTGTGATGGTTTCTTCATAATTATAATTTGCAGGACCTATATTGGCTATCATTATAGTTTTGGCATTACCACCCAAAGAATCTGAAACAGAAAATAAAAGTATTAAAAATATCTTTCAAAGAGATATTTTCAATATAAATAAAACATCTTGAGAAACAGATATGTATATATTTAACTGATTCAGTATTGCATCCTCTTTTAGAAAACGACTAAATTTGTTCCCTCCGCCAAAGAGGAAACTAATGCTTATGAGCATGGCTAATTCTTCTAGTCAAGCTAGGCCAGAACAATGTTTTCTGTCTGGTTTACGGATAGAGAAATTTCTGGTAGTGGTGCTTTTACTCTATATTATGCCACAGCAGTGTATCAGTAAAAAATACAAATTTACTAACAGCGAAAATAAAATAAATATACTAAAGTAAAATGAAATAACATTTTTCCAAAGAACGAATTAATATGTTATCTTATAAATGCTACAAAAGACAAGAAAATTAAGTTTCAATAAAAGAAAATTAATATCATACCTTGCAACAATCTGGTAAGCTTAGAATCTCTGTAAGGTACGTGTGTGCTTTTACCATCGACTAATGCAGAAATAACATTGCCCAATGCAGATAAAGAAAGGTTGATTTTAATAGATTCCTTCTGAGTTGATCCCTAAAATAATTTAAAGTATAATTTCCAAAACAATTTTGAATTTAAAAAACATGTAAATTTAAAATTAGAAAAGATAAAACTAATTACCACAGCCCCAGTTTTCTTCTGCTTTTCGCTGCCAGCCAAATCTACCAAGTTTAATTTTCCAATCTTAACATGCTGACTACCTTCTAAGTCAGGCTGATTGAAAATAAAGGATATGATGAACCATTTCAGATCAATTTTTTAATCAGAGTAAATAATGAAACAATCATTTACAATAAATCAATAAAAATAAATTGAAAGTCTACATAGAGCTATTTTCCTAAATCTAAGATTTTAAGTCAATAGAGAAAAATTGTAAATGTTGAACTCTAATTAATCAAAACATCAAATGATATATTTTTTTAAAATTCCAATATATATTATAAAATAGCTTAAAACAACAACCTAGTGAGATAAAAAAAGAACAATAATTATATGCCTCAATTTAGTAATTAAATATAGTCGGATATTTTGGTTACTTCAAACAATATCTAGGAGTGCCAATGAGTAGAAAATCTTTCCTGCAGATTTGGAGTTATTTCAGTAGATTTTAGTAAATATAGTAATAATTTTAAAGCAAATCAAAAAATTTTTAATAACAATATAAGCTTTATTATACAAAGAAGGGTAAAGTTAACTTTCTGCTGCATATAAAAAAAAAATTTTTTTCCTGTCAAAAATTTTAACTGTGGAATACAAAATGACTGCATAGTTTCTCTTCTAATAATTTAATTGCGTTTTACGCCTGATAGGACTAAAATAATATGGCATGGCTTGGATAAGATTTTTTAAAAACTCATGGGTGGGCAGGTTTTTTTTTAACTGGGTTGAACATTCTTCCATTAGCTTAGCAACAATTTAAAGAAATTGACAGAGGAAAGTTTTAAAGCTACATAAAGGATAAATATTTGTCACTTGCCCTTGACAAAAACATGATATACTTGCCCAGACATATTAAATGTATGTTATTAAAATGCCTCTTTGTATAATACAGCAAAACATGAATGAAATGTGATATGATAAATCACAAACACATTGTAAAAAAATTTCTTTCAGAATCATATACATAGGTATAAAAAGATCTACAAATCCAAGTTACCTGGACAACAAGAAGTCTAAAAAACTGTACTTAGAGCCAATATTTAAGTAAAATTAAGCACAAAAGCAAAAAGCTGTTACGCTACTTTTTTTCCATAATATAAAGTATAATGACTCCTAAAAATTGGTGCTATCTCCTAGAAATTTTGCATTTTGATTTGCAGTTTTTAAATTCAATGCCTAAAAAAATTAGCCTTACTGCATACGAGTAAATTTCCAATGTATTTCCCATTTCTCTGAATAAATTAGTAAAAAAGTTCAATTAATGTTTTTTTTTTTTTTTTTTAAAGAGAAGAAAAAAAAATCTGCCTTTCTAAAAAGAATATTTTATAAGTTTTGATGACAAATTATTGGAGAACAATGTATGGTTCCCTCATAACAGTATTTATGATAGTATGTATACAAACCTCACAAGATTCGATGTTAATGATGAAAATAGCATGTGAGCGTGAACTATGAGCATTCATATTCGTTGTTCTAAAATACAAATTAATCAAAACACAATATCAGTATATAAAAATTGGCCAATATATTGTAATTACAAAAACAAACTAAGTTACAAGTTATTGCTACCTATAGGTACTCAAATTTAGGTTATGACTTATTTAATATGCTTGCCATAAATGGGTATAGTATGGAGGTAACTAATAATTTATTTTTACAGAAAATATATCTGAGAATTAGAAAAAATTTTATTTTGAAATCTCTTTTAATGAATTGTAAAAAGATCTTAAAAATATCCTTTTCTGCTTCATTTTTTTTACTGTGATGTAGATTATTATTAAATTTATCAAAATAATTTAAGACACTGTCTAGAACTACAAAACAATGATATCCTACCACAAAACACAGTGTCTTGCCTTTGAAATGTACAAATGAAAAACATTAATTTTAAAATAAATATTAACTACCAGGTAGAAGATTATAAATTAAATTATTAAAAACAAATCAGTAATATTTAAAAAAACAAATGCAATTTACATTAGAATAATAATTTTATTAATATTTAAATGAACAAGAGGTCCAATTATAAATCTAAAGAAATAACTAAATAATGTTGATGTTTTTGTAATACCTACAGAGATTAAATCAAAATAAAAAAGTACTATCTGTCTTTTTTTACAATATCTACATAACCAGATAGACCTACATAAATATATAACTTCCTAAAAACGGGGTAACAATTATTAAACTACATGTAATAAAAATAAAACTTTGAAAAAATACTCAGTTCAAAATTTTTATGAGTAACTGTGGGTTCTTGGTTTAGTTTATGCTGTCATGAATATGTATGGTGGGGAGTTGACAAATAGCAAAAATTTGCTAAACTCATTTAAGGGGAAACAATCAATAACATTGATAGAAACTTAAAAAACGCTGTATTTTTACCATTCTACCAAAAAATAAAAATAACATTAGTCTAAAGTTAAAGAGAGAAAACAATACACTGAACATGTCCTGCATTGAACCACCAAGTTTTAATTGTGTTTCAAATTGCATACAGATCAAAGTTACTATTTTGTTTCATACAGCTCAATAATTACATAAGTGTCAGACTATACATAAGTGTACAACTTAATATTGTCTCATAATCAGTTGTGTTATGCCATAATTTTGACATTTGTATTTAACTAAAATTAATTTATAACCTTGATTTGATGTTTTAATTATTATTTTGTATTTAATCTCATTCATTTAATGCTATATATGCATTTTAAGTTAAATATTTAGGCTAAAATATGTATGCATGGATCAATTTTTCTTCAACCATCCTTTTTCTATAATAAAAACAAAATATTACTGTTACTAGTGCTTTGGATTTTTGACTTAATAATTAATTTCATTTTCGTACCTTTATTTGGATAACACTAGCTTCTAAAGAAAAAAATTATATTTTGTGATTAAAAGAAAGACATTAGAGTGAGGGTCAGTGAGTACTAGAACTAAATTAGTCAGTGAGTAACAGAAAGAAATATTAGAATCTGGGCAAAATTTACTAGTGTAAGAAAAAACTGATAATTAAAAATGAATACATTAAATTTATAGTTAAACTATTTTTTGAAATGCAAAATGTTTTTTAAAACAAATGAAGAAAAAATTCTTCTAAGAATAGCACTCTTGCTTTGATCAACAAAAAAATCCCAAGAAAAAATAATATTAAAACAAATATTTGCTTATCATAAACATTAAAAATATAGTAAGTACTCTGATACTTAATGCAATATTTAAATCATGGGAGAGAAAAAATAAGAATAAAACTAGCTATTGAAAGTTTTTTTTTTTTAAGTATGCAATTTCTAGCAATTAATTAAATTTTAAAGGGCAACTACTATTATAAACAACACTATATGATTTTAGTTAGTGATTTTGATGAAAGAAAATTAAGACAAAAATAAATTTCTAAGAGGAAAGAGACATAGATTTATAAATTAAATACAAACCCAATGCTTCGGTTGAGTTTGCCTTGAACTAGAACTTTTTCTAAATCCTGAACTGTTTTACACACTACAACACTTAAATCCTGGAAGTAACAAATTAGTTTACATAAAGATTATGCGTCTTGAATTTTGCAGTTACAAATATTTAAATATCTTACTTTAACATAAACACCAGTATCATTTCTTTCTCGCACTTCTAATTTCTTTTTCGGTTCAGGAGATAGCAAATCATGGACTTCTTCCTGAAATGTACAACAGTTGTCAAAACTTAGCATACGAAACTTCAACCAATGTTAGGTTTTTAATAAATAACTTTTTTCTTTTAAGTTGGAATATAATTTTTTTTATGGAAATTTAAAAGAACAGCAGTTTGAATATCATATTTGCATTTAATCTATAGGAAAGTCATAAGTGAATGTGACATGTTCCAAATGTTGGTATTAAAATTTTTAAGAACAGAAATCAACTAAGTTATACTTAGAAAATATAAAACAGATATAAAATAAAGATTACCTAAAAATAATACCATGCAAAAATATTTTAATAATTATTTAATATCATTATTATTTTTGATAAAATTAAAAATCATTACAAGCATTTTAATTTGTAAAACATACAAATTTGAAAACAATTTAAATTTTGCAATTTTAAAACCTAAAACTTTGGCAAAATCAGTAGAATAATTACCCTGAAATGTAAATTTTAACTTCAAGACTTATTTGAATTTTTATACTGTAAAAAGTATTTAACTGATTTTGTCAGAATTTTAGATTTTATCATTTGAAACTAAATAATGCATAATGATGTTAATATTTTTATATCTTGCAATCCTTACTCTTTCAAAGATTGAAATTATTAATCAAAAAAAAATTATGTTAAATTATTTTTGGATAAAGGAATTTCATAAATGGATTCAAAGTGATTGGTGAAATTAGTTTCAGAGAGGGTTAAATACACAAAAAGTAAATAAAATGTAAAGAACCTTAAATTTTAGCCAGGACTCTGACCAGTCTATACAGTCCTGATTGTGGACTATTTCCACTTCTAAAGATTTAGAAATCTAAATCCATTAGAAAAAAGCTTTTTTTTAAATTTTATTTATAGTTATTTTTCTTTTTGATCAGAATTTTCTAACTTGAACTAAACCTCACAACAATCAAAGAAGAAATCAATAAGAGAAGGTGGAACTGGATGGGGCTAGTATAAAGAATGGCAAGAAAAAAATCAACATATGATTCTCTGTTTACTGAACTCCTGATGGCAAGAGAAAAAGGGGAAGAGCAAGAAAAAGGGAAGAGCAGAGACAAATGGATTTGAAGAGAGGGAAAAAATTAAAGGATTAGTGGAAACCAGATCCAAAATGGCGTGAAGAACCTAGATAAATAATTAAACTATCACCTGCCATAATCAAATATAAAATTTTAGTCCAACTCTTCAAATCATAAAAATTTAGTTTCATTGCATTAAAATCCAATAATTAAATCATAAGTTATGAGAAGATTATAAATCAGACATCTAGATTTTAAAAAAATAACTAAAATGAAAAAAAGAAAGATCATTTAATTTCAATGAATATTACAGATAAAGTTTAAATTAGAGATAGTAATCAGATAATTTAAACTTAATGTAAATATTTTTTTCCATGTTATTATTTTTTTAAATCAAATCTAAAAATAAAATTACATAATTAAAATAAAGTTAATTAATATTTAATTTAAAAGAGTAGTTGGTATTACTTGGTAAATTTCAAGGTATGATGCAGAAACAAGAAACTGGGTATTTTCTGATCGTGCTATTCGACTAAATATATGTTTAAAGGAATGTGGTATTACACCTTCATGTTCAGGATCACCCAATACACCTAGTAATGAAATTTTAAGAAATATTAGAATTAAAAATATTTAACAATATTTCATAGAAAATTTTAGAAAAGCAAGTAATAAATAAACTTTGAGAACAAAGAGACAGTTTAAAAATTCATAATACAAAATAGCCTTTCTAAAAAGTTTAAACCACGCTAAGTATTTACTAAAATGAAAGATAACTGCACCCTTATAAAATATACATACAGTGAAATCTCTGTTAAGCAGACATTCTTGGGACCGAAAAATTGTCTGTTTATGAGAAGGGTACCCTAATAACGAAGTTTAACACCATAAATTGTTTTTAGAATATTTTCAAAGATATATAAAAAATTAAATAATCAACAATAACTATTTACAAGGATATTTAAAGTTTAAAAAAAAAAATTTCTATACAAAAAGAATATATTAAAAAGTTTGATATAAATACATAATTCTAGATGTAGATACAGAAAAATTAATATAATTTTCCTAATAACACAGATATTCAAGTAAGTCATATGATACCGAATAGGAGCTTTTAGTACTCAGTCGGTTTCAATTATTAGGTTTACACCCCCTAACACCTACCTTTCACTTGATAGGAAACATGGTTAATACCTCTTGGAAAGTAAGCCTCCCACGATTTACAGAAAAAAAAGCAATGCATACCTGTAAGGCATGAGAACCTATGGAGTTATTCACAATTGATCATTTATTAAGTGTCTGAATAAATGTTTCATTTATATAAACAACTCAAAGTTTATATTTCTGTTCTCCTTTTTTTTACCCCAGATGTGTTAAATATAGTCTTCAAATTGATAAGAAAATGAAAGAAATTTTCAGAAGGGAAGAAACATTGAGTGCATTTAAGACTTCATTTTAACCTGAGGGGTCTTATAAACGGTGAGATCCAGATGAAAAGATCAAAAGATGCGAATTATTTCACAAAAGCCGTATCAAGATAAGGCAAAAAATGCATATGCTTTAAAAATGGTGAAACATTGCATGCTTTTTTCTTACAATTAAAAGCAAAAATAGTTAGTTTTTTTTAATTCAAATTTAGAAAAAGTAGTGTCCGGTTTGAAGAGATAGAAAATAGCATTTCATAGCAAAAACTAAGTAAGGTCTGCCTCCGGTTACGTGAGTGTCCGCTTTGCAGAGAATGTACATAATGGTTTATTCATAGAAGATTCACAGGGAATTAAAAATATGTCCTTATTGGGAGGCGTCCGTTTTGCAGGAGTGTCCATAACAGGAGGTTTCACTGTATATATAAAAAATGGCTAATAAAATAATATGAATAACACTAAAAGCTGGACTATCCTAAATGAGAAGGAATCAGCGAATTCTGGGTACCTGAGAGCTCAAAACCTCTCATTTTAAATATTACCTTATTTTTCTGGAAAAATGCCCCACCTTGATAAAAGATTGATTCGAGCAATATGACCTTAATTATTGCACTAGAAGCTTTTAAAAATAATAATAATAAATGGTAAAAAATTGTGATAGTTGCCCACAACATAAAAGGTAAATACATAAATGAAACAGCGAAATGGGGGGGAAACACATAAGTATAACATAAAACAAATACATCTGCATTTATTATTGAACTCCAAAATTTTAAATGTTTCAAATTACTGTATTAATAAGTAAAAATGCTGTGCAGTGATAAAAACACTAAGTAATAAAAGTTTTAATTGAAGAATTTGAAGTTGCATAGAGGAAAGAATAACAACACAATAAACAGAGAAATCTTCTACATTAAATACAAATTCACCTATTATTCCTTATTTTTATTTTTAATTTTACTTTTCAGCAAGATATCAGAAATTGAATTTTGATGACTACATAAATGTGAACCTGGAAGTCCTCGTTAAGTAAAACAATATTTAGAGTGGTAAGGAGATAAAAATTTAAAAGGAGTTTGTTACGTTTAGACAGTATACTTAAAAATTTCACTGCACAATTATCAGGTATTACATATTTGTTTGGTTTACATACAGTGGAAATTTAATAAAATATTCATTATACCCAGCTGAGTACTAAAAAAATATTTTTTTTAAGATCACAAAAGCTAAAACACTCAAAATATCACAAATCATTTGGAAATTATATTGAATAAAGCTAATTACCTTCCATTGTGTAAGTTTTGCCAGCACCTGTCTGACCATATGCAAATATTGTCCCATTAAAACCATTAATTACTGAATCCACTAATGGTCGAAACACTTCATCATACACGTCAGTTTGACTTCTGTGAAAACACAAACACATGCAATTATATTTTAAAAAATTATTAAGCGATTTTGCAATGAAATGTAATGACTAATCTCTGAAAAAAGTAAATCTTTAACTTTTGAAACATTACTTTCGTAATAAATAGAATTTTAAAAAATAGAAATTTGAATTTTAAAAAATAGAAAATAGAAATTTGAAAAAAATATTCAGAAAAAGCATCAATAGCAATTGCAAATAAGTATGAAGTCATTAATGGTAGACATATTTAAAAGGTAATGTTGCAGAAATCAACAGGACATTTTTTAAAGTAATATGATAATAGGTAGGTACACATGAAAGATGAAGCAAACAAACTATCAAAGGCAGGTAGTTCAGAATATAATTTTAAAAGTTTAAAAATTTCCTTTTGAGTTCAATATAATTAAAGAGTACTAACCCTCCGTCAAAAACAGCATCAAATGTAAAATTCTTTGAGTTTTGCTTCGTACTTTGTATTTCTATAGCACCACGATCAGGATGAAGTTTTACAACACTAAAAATATTTTTAAAAATTTTGTTATCTCACAATGTGCAAGAGTGAAAAATATACATAAGAAATATAAGCAGCTATACAATTCTTTATTGAAAATTATCATTAAATTAGACTTTATTTAATTATAACATTAAAAATTGTATTTTAGGCACAGAAAGTTCTAATGATTTTTATAGTTATTAAAATACAGAGCTATAGGAATGTTGGGGCACCCTCCCCCCTCCATTTTAGAAAGGCCCCCGCCAATATTCAAAGAAGAAAATTTTTATTATAATTATTAATAAAAATTTCAATTTTTTAAAAAATTTAATTTTATGTAATAAATATTTGAATACTTTGTTTTCTTTTTTAAATAAATAGATGGTAATCTAATCATGGTAGGTACTTTATGTACATCGCACTAGAGCAGCATAATGAGTTATTGGCGATTGTCTAAGAAACATCACTGAGGATGATCCAAAGACATGCTAAAGACTAGGATATAATTTTGTGAGGCCACCTTCCTCAATTTAGACCTAGATTTGATGGGGATGGAAATTTTCCCCAGATCACTGTACCCGTGGTACTATTCAGCAACCAACCATAGGTATATGATTCCACAGATTTTACGAATATGTATGTCACATGTACTCTGTGGGTCTTAGCGGAGTCAAGGATCAAACCCAAGCTACAACCGACTGGAGTCCGATTCTCTAATCACTGGACTACCATGGAAAAACCTAATGAAATGATGGCTCTCTTACTATAATTTTAAGAACCTTGCTGAAGAAACTTTTCTTTGAAATGAAAATCATAGAACTCAAAAAATAATATACGCATAAAAACACTTTTAGATGGTTATTTAAGAGTGGCTCTAAAATTCATGGAGGGGCTCCCATACCTGATGTATGAATAATATTAATTGACTAAATAAATTCAACAAAAAAAAACTTATTTTCTATTTCAAAAATTTAAGTGAAAGTCAAATATCGCATTTAGTGACTTCACAATGTTAGAGGCTCTGCATTGCATATGAAAAAGAATATGAGAAAAAAAATCTTTCACAGTTTGGAAGGTTGATTTGATTTGTTCATTTACGTCGCACTAGAACTGCACAATGGGCTATTGGCGACGGTCTGGGAAACATCCCTGAGGATGATCCGAAAACATGCCATCACAATTTTGATCCTCCGCAGAGGGGATGGCACCCTCGCTTCGGTAGCCTGATCATCTGCACACGAAGTCGAGCACTTTATGGTTTAACGAGGACCAATACAGCACACCCTCGGTCCCTACGCAGACTGATCCAAGTGGTCACCCACCAGCACACTGACAGCAGCCAGTGATGCTTGACTTCGGTGATCTACTGGGAACCGTGCCTTAACGATCAGTCCACTGCGGGACCACAGATTGCACGGAAGTTATCAAATAATCCTTTTTAGGAAAACTTCAGATGAAAAAATTAGTTTATAAATCAAAATTGCAGAATTATAAATGCATACGTGTAAAAAGAAAATTCGTTTTGAGGACAAATAATGTGATTTTGAGCTTTTAAAGATAAGTAATTTGGAATTTTTTTTGTTTAATTATTACTGAATTAATTATAAAATGGAATTTTTTCTCATCATAGAAGAATTATTCTTCAAGTATGTCTTTATAGTACAATATCATTGATAATAACTGTTTTATTCTGCCATTATAAATAGAAAAAAGAATACAATTAAATCTCATTACTTGAGGAACAATTAAAAGCTTTTTAATACCTGGCTGATACTGAAGTAGTGGTAGTTTTTTAATGTTACATAAATGGTAGTATACATTAATATTTGACCATTAAAAATTAAGAAATGTGAAATAGGTGTACACACTATATGCCCTTTATTTTCCACCATGATAACTCTTTAAAAACTTTTTTTTTGTTCTACAATAAACAACATCAAAACATAAAAAACAATGATTTTTAAATCAAAAAATTAAAAAGATTAGCTTTGGAAAATTAATATATTTTAAAAAAATTTATGTAAAGTCATAAATCATACACAATTCTACATACTAAAGAAATTAAAAACCTCTTTTTATTATTTATTTATTTATAATTTTGTTAAGGCTATTATGCATGTAGGCAATGATATGATTCACATTATTCAAAGACCAACACATTTTAAACAAGTATGCTAGGGAAATTAAACCAAAACTTTGAATAAGCCTGTTTTGCTTTATCGCATTAATGCAAGAACATATGAAAGTAATTACAGGATTAATTGAGTTAAAAGAGAAAATAAAACAATACTGCCTTAAAAATTGAAAAATAAAATTATAATTACGAATGATAATTGGCAGAAACTTCTTTTTCACTAATCGGACGACATCGTACAACCACTTTCACGGATTCAGACTTACTTTTCCCCATCTGAAATTGAAATAATAAGAACACTTACTTGGGTACATAAGAAATCTGTTAAATTTATAAACTTTTTTATAGCTTATCTGAAATTCGTAATCTTTTACAAATTTTTAAAAGGTTTCTCAAATATAAAGATAATATCACTAGGAATGTAATGAATAGTGATTTGGTGGAATAGTCAAATATTTAGCCAAAAATATTGGCTGCATAGCAACATTTTTTTAAAACAAATCATTAATAAATATTATTTTTTATATATAAATAAGTTTAGTCATTATTGAAAAAAAGTCTGTAAAAAAAAGGACAAAAATCAGATGTATTATGTAGGGAGTAAAGGGAAAAAAACTTTGATAAAAATGTTTAAGATAATAAAGATAATTAGTAGAAATATTTAAGATGAAAAAACTAACAGCTATTAAAAAAAATTGAAAGTTGAAAAAAAAGATATAAAGTATAAAATAAATATTGTCTAACTTCTCAAAACAAAACTTTAATGCTAAAAATAAAATTTTCCGAAATTTTTTTTCTCCATAAAATGTAAAAAGAGATAATGTCAGAAACAGTTTTAAAAATGCAGCGCTATCATAAAAACGCCCATACAAAAAGATCATATATGTACAAAAGCAAAACATGAAGAATAAAAATCGATCTTAATTTTTGAAAGAAAATTTTAAAGCTAAACATCTCAGTTTTCCAATTACTGTATTTTCAAGAAAAAGCTAAGTTTAAAGTCTAATAGAAACTCTCTCAATTGTCGCGTTTGAGACAAGTGTTTTGAAAAAGAAAAAGCTAGACAGAAACCGAAACAAATAATGTTCTTAATTTTTAATCTCAAATTTTAACACTAAAAATTTCAATTTAGCATTTTTCCAAAATTATTTCAATTATATTTTATAAATTAAATTTAAAATAAGTCAAAATAAACACTTTACTATTGATACATGCACAACATTAATGAGGAATATAAATATATTAATAATTAAAAAATTCATACAAATACATATACTGTTACAGTTTTTTAAATTCAGGGATCTGTCCAGGGCAAATTTACTGCCGTTAAGCGGTAGCTTCACAAATTCAATTTTAGGAAAAACGGTAGTTTCACAAATTCAAGTTAAAGGAAAACGGTAGTTTCACAAAATACTTTTAACATATTTTCGAAAGATATTTAAATATTTTTGAAAATATTTTCTTATTTTACCATATTTTTGTGTTCATTTTTTAATATAATTTTTAATTTTC